GCTTGGGAGACCGGCGAAAAAGCCGGCTGCTATCGAGGGGAGGGGCAGGGCTTAAATATAGGGGAGTGAGGTGGGGTATATAGGGGGGAAAGGGGGTGTATAGAAGAAAGAGAGTGGCTTGGCTGCCTTGGCACTGACAGTGGCCCTCGCGCCTAGCAACACGAAGGCCAAACTCGCGACGCAAACTATCGCGGAAACCAGCCGACAGAATAGCCCCCTTTCTATCCACTTCAGGCTATTCTAACTCGTACTTTTTTTTTGCTAAATCGGTAGGAAGCATCATGTCACACTGCAGTCACTTGACTGAAAATAATATTTTACATTATTTCAAGTTATTAAATAATGCAGAATGACTAGCATTTCCGAATTATCTAACTCATCATTTTTTTTTTAATAAGTCAGAGGGAATTGTCGTATCACACTGCAGGAACTTCGCAACAATTTTGATTTTATATCATGTCAAGTCATTGAATAATAATACCTTCCGTTTCAGAGTTATCTCACTCGTAAAACTTCTTTTTTTTTTTTGCTAAATCGGCGAGAATCGCAATCATCGGAAAATTCGCAATGTTCGGAAAAAATTTGAATTCCTCCGATTTTAGATTATTGGAGGTTACTTTACACATAATAAATAAATAAATACTGAGTAATTGCAAATTCAGTAAAACCTTTCTTGAAATATATAGAGAATTTTTAGTATTTTGCGCAACTTCCTCTACACATGCAGACGCGCATCGATCTGAATTGATTATTCCGGAATAAAGTAGACAAAAGTATGTGGAAATTCACATATAAGCTTCGCCCTCATTTATTATAAAATATTTAGTGAATCATTAAGAACCTGCAACAGTAGAAGTTTCTTCGAATTGCGAAGTTTATAAAGAAGCGTTCAAAAATGGAAAACCTAAGCGCTTCGCTTTAATGAAAATATTCATAATTAATAACTAATTTCAAAATTATAATTTTTACTTGACGAATTTGATAATTAAAACCACAAAAATCTATAGCATAATGCGTACTCAATTATCGATACAAATTAACCGTGGAAATTGAACTCGGTAAAAAAATCCCCAAAAAATTGTGATCTAGCCTTATTAATTATAAATAATCAGTAAAAGAAAGTCGTAATCTTCGCGCCCAAGCGAGTTAGCAATAATTTCCACGAAATGTTTATTGCAGCTCTCGTTCCACTCTATAAAAGAGTTCCTGAAGTGGATCGAGGTGTCTCCCTTAAATACCAAGATATTTCTCAAAAATTCGACAAAAAATGTGAGATTATTCGAATTTACGGTTTGCAGCTTCAGCGAAAATAAAGCTGAATAATATGCCGTGAACACTTCACGCTACTGCATGTGCAGCGAATAGGAGGTACTCGACGTCAGTACCAAGGTCTGCATACATATACTTTTTACCGTGCAGCCTCTCCTGAGCGATGCATAAGAGAAGGTACTTGTATGAAAAATCGTGCAACTCGTCAGCTCAGTCCAATGTTTGAACCGAATCACCACGTCAACGAGTCTTCTTTATTCTCCCCCTTTCATTCTCTTCTCAGTTTACCTTTTTGCCTTTCTGGTCCAACCCTCTGACCATTCTAATGCAGAAACCGACGACCAACGTACCCCTCTCTTTGTTCATCAACAATAACTGAGGAATAGAGAAGTTGAAAAGAAACAAAAAAAAAAGGGGTATTGTAAATCGTTGGCCCAGTTTTTCCCACGTCTTCGAATAATCAAACTCTGCATAATTGAACTATTTTTAGTTTTCGCAAAAGATTTGACTTGCACTGAAAAAAATCAGCCAATCAGTGATCTTGTTGAAAGATAATTGATTTTTTTATCAGTCTAATGCTTATAATTACTGATCAAAATTTACATTTTTTATGGTAAACTTCGTTCTTTCAATTGTCGATTAAAAAGAGTATTGGCGAAAAAAAGAAATAAATATTTTTTCAAAAGGTGAATTCCTAAAATAGTGGTGGATTTGCGGAGGGTTTTTACGTTTTTTCAAATGTCAGATTTTCGGAAGAAATTTTTTTCGGGGGGACATTTTACAAAATGCAAGAGACGATTTTTTTATTACGCAATGGTGACAGAAATGGCGTTGATAGCTCAATCGCGATTTTTTGTAGATTTAAGTGAATTATATGCTTCGACCAGCAGGAAAAAAGTGAATATTGAATAACGCTGAGTTTTTCAATCTTTTTGCAAATCCCCGGAATTACAAATTGGACTTTCTGATTTTTTTTTACTTGAACTTTCTCGATATTTATTCATCACAATGGAATAATTCAACTAAAATTCAAATTTCCATAAACTTTCCCATATAATTATAAACTATTAATGACTAAGGTCCTAGCTACCGTAAACCGAAAATTTTTAGAGTTATATCTCCCTGAAGTCACGAATTAGAAATAATTTCCAGAAAATTTCTCCCTCAAAAAAGCAACTTCTTTCTGACACAGTTTGATCGACAAGATGTCAGAGAAAAGATAAATGCCAGTTGTGACGTGGTACTGGGAATTTTAAACCTAGAAAATTTGACCCATTTATTTCTGGCAACAATCAGACAGCAAAACTATCGACAAATAGCCGATAATATTGGAGCACTTGTGATATTACCAGTGAAAATAGTCATAGCAACTCAGCTGAGATTTCATCTGAAGTGCGACCTTGAAGCCAGGCGTGACCTTGACCGTGTCATTCCCCACCCCGCGCACCCTTTGCCCACCCCTCTTCATGCGCTGTACAGAGCGTCATATTACGTACACAAGTGCTCGGTGTGCTGCTGCGGGCGCCGCTGCATCGACCGCTTCGCGGATTCCTCCCGTCCATCCAATATCACCCTTTCACCCTTCCACCCTTCCATCCTTCCATCCTTCCATCCTTCCACCATTCCCCATTATTATCGCATGTACACCGATAATATACATTTACGCCAACGGCACTGACACCCATACAACTCTATTTGAGAGAAATCCACTCTGGGTTACCACTAGCAGGAAACAACTGCGAATATTTTAAAGATATTCTGTCCACTTTTACCCAAAATTCAAGTTTTTTTTTTATTTATCTGAAAAATTGTTTATCGGATTGATATGCAAAAATATTACGTTTTTTGCGTTTTATCATTATTTCATAACTCATGAAGATGCATACTGAAAATTTTCCTGTTTTTTTTTTCTGAAGTTTAAGGAATTTTCGGAAAGTTTGGGAAAACGCAGGAAAATTAGTGCACATCGTGACATTTTGAGAGCCACTACATAATTATAAAATAGGAAAACGATTAATTTTTCGCGTCAATCTCATCGGTAATTTGTCAGAAAAATAAAAAAACGTGGGATCAATTATTGAGTGAAAATTTATAAGTAATAATTTTACTCCTTAAGGATTCTAGATTAAGAGTCCAGGGTTTGAGTGGATGATTTTTTTTTTCAATAGTTAAAAGATGAAAGAATTCAGGAATGAGAAGAATTGAGGAGTGATTTAATTTTGCATAGACAATGTAGTTAAACAATTTTCTATGCTGGTTGTTTAATTTTGAAGGTGATTGAAGAATAGAGTACTTTGTTTCTTCAATGCTCCATTTATAGTTTTACATTTGCAGTTGGAGGTAATAATTTAGCGTTAATTAGACTGTTGGCTTTTGCCTATCTCTGGATTTTAGCGCATGACACTGAGGACATCAGTTTGCGATGTTGGTATATGTTTTTAGAAGAAGTTTTGAAGCATATAATAGAGAATGATGGCAAAAATTTTTTAATTTAGGGTATTATGTACACTGATCATAACGTAATGAAAAGTGTTCTTCGTATTCCTATTGATTTCAACATTCTGCATGGGACGAGGAAAACTTAATCATATCGGCTATTGTATATGATTCAAGGACAAAGTCATGTGCTAAATAAAGATTTTGGACTTCTGGAGGAATATTTATAGCTGACGAGAAAATCCACCCGTTCAGTGCAGTCTGGATTTCTTATTATGAAGGCAAAGCTTTTTCATTCATGAAAAAAGATGATGTGATTTCATCGAGGATTTTATGACTTATTAAATCACAAGTGAAGTGATTCCCCCATCCCTTCCATTGGAATTCAATGTAATTACTACAAAATTCCAATTTTAGAAATCGAAACCTTTTCATAAATTATGAAAATCTGTATCAATATATATCATAAATATGTAAATCAAGACATAGCGCCTCTTCTTTAAACGTGAGTCGCCCCTCATGTGCGAAATGTTTACGTAATTTCCATATTCATAATTCCCGCCAAAAAACACCCAACGAAAATCACAACAATGGTCGAAGAATAGTTTGGTTACGTTCGTAAAACAAATTAAACGCATTTATGGGTCCAGTAGATGAGCGTAAGAAATTTCCGTCTGAATTATCTAAATGTAAGGCCCTATTCTTCGATTTTTATTTAATTTGCACGAACTTGTCAGGCCATGTGCGTTTCGAAAACGGGATGAGTGCGTTGCCGGTGCAGACAACGTGTTTAAGAGGGAAACGAATATATCATTCATAAAATATTATTTCGGGAGACCCCGAAGTGTACTCGGTAGAGAAATATTGATGGGATTTAAATAACTCACCACGATCGAATTTTTTCCCCTCAGGATCAATGTCTTTAACGTTGAAAATATCCTCGAACAGTACACCCGCCATTTTAGACACAACTGAAAGCAGTGACACGCGGTGAGCGCCACCAAACACAACTCAGCTGATCGCGCGCTCCAGCGGGAATTTTGAATACTATTTTTCCGTGACCTCGTGAAATAAATATTGCATATTATAAATATTATAATAATAAAAGTACACTACAATTATCTATATAATATTTATAATACATTGTCCACATTATCTACACATCATTAGTGTAGAGGTAAGACAAACTTACCTGTTAACTAAATTGACTTGCTTGTCTTTACCTCATGGCTGCTGATGTATAATAATTATGATATGGTATTTCTTTTATTATATTAAAATTATAGACCGTTATATCATTTTTGCAAATATACATATAATATATCTTGGCGAAATGGCGATAACAGAAATCATTCCACCATTTTTGTAATATAGGATTTCATAATTTAAGATTAATCTAAGAATCGTCAGGGAACTTGGAGAGATTTCTCGGTTGGAGTGTCATTTTTTAATACAGATTGAGTTTGGTGGTTATTATGACACGAAGGCACTGATCAAACGCAGTGCACACAGCAAGTCCCTGTTTGTCTGGACACCAATCTAATGAACTTATAGGCTGACTTGATATTGTGCTGTGTTGGAGGAGGTTTACATCACCAACTACACCTTGCTCAATCCCATCGGCATCAACTTGTTTCCTTTTCTCGGGGTAATTGCTGAAAGACATTTTTTCACAAATTCAGTAATGAAGGATATTGGAAAGTTCGAGTAAATCGAAATTTAATCATCTAATCGATCAATTCAATTCGACTTCAACAGCTGATTAAAGATGTTCTCAACCCAGATATAGTCAAAATTCATATTTTTCAATTTTCCGTCATCATCCGTAAGCTGATCACGGAATTATGGTTGCACTTACTATTTCCAGAGGCACAGAGATCCCCCCCCGCCACAGGTCATGAAGATTTCTCGATTTTGTGGGAGATGTCTTACAAGCCAGACTGTTGATTTGTGCGCCTGTAAGGAACAATAAATAAAATCTGAGGACTCTACGACAAATAATCGGTATATCCTTGACTGAAGACTCATCTGAAACTTCGTGCATTACCTTTTCCGTTAAATAAGCGAATCCCTTCTTCGGATGCTGTGTCCTCAGATCGAACAGATAGAACTTGGACTCGAGTGTCGTGACGACGAGTTTATTCATGGGAATGTCCTTCCGGTCGAACTCCAGACCGCACACTCCGTTTTTCAGATTGCTCTCCCACCTCAACGACATGGCTTTAAGATCGAACATTTTGACATCACCGTTGTCGTAGCCTGCAGCAACAACTCGTTCCTCGGAGTTGTAGGAATTTCCAAAGGCGACTGTCCAGCAGTCACGACGAGCCTCACCCTCCTTGGGCTCCATAACAGCCACAGGACGGCCCTTCTGCCGTGGATCCCATACTTTTACACTTCCATCTCTCGAACCAGTGACAATCTCTGGAGCACCGCAACCAATATTCTGTCCACCTACTCCATCGATTGCGTTTATTATCTCACTGTGGGCATTTGCTGAGTAGATCGGTACGGAAGGATCTTCTAAATTATAAATATTCAGTTTTCCCTTTGGAGAAATACAAATTTAGTGAGGTCATTGGATTTTTGATGATGAGGTCAATAACACGTGGAAATCCACTCAACAAATATCTACTGAATATTGAAAATTTATTTTATAAATGAATAATTGAATTAATCATAAATTGAAATTGTTGATTGGATTTTTAATAATGGATCTAATATTATTGAGAATAAAATTTTACACAAAATATAAAATTCAATAAAATTTTCATTCGAATCATTAAAAGATCTCGCTAATTACGAACTTGAAATCGTGAAAAATAATTGGATAATTAACTAATGAAAATTGATGATACGAATTTTTCAAATGTTATAATGACAAATGGTGCAGCAGGATACAATAATTGGCACTTATCTCGATTTCCAGAGACTCAGTGTAGGATTTATCGAGTGAATGCACCTGTCAGGACCTCATCTTTGAGCTCTCAAAACCAACCTTAAAGTCACCAGTGGCTAGATATCTGTCCCTGAGGCTGGAAGCCTTGAAAGTCCCACATTTCATGGGATTTGAACGTTCAATATCCTTGATGAGTTTTAATTCACCACTGGACACTTCATAAATCTGGATGATTCCAGTACCCCGGGGTCTCGAACCCATAACCACAAATTTTGCACTGCATGGGATCCATTTAGCATCGAATAAAGAATAATCCACTGATTTCTCAATGTGACTTATTATCTGAGGCTTCTCCAGACGATCCATTCTTCAGAATAGTTGAAGACACTGATGCTTGTTTGTTCAATACATTTTCTGTGTTCCTAAATAAATATCAACCACCGGTTCTAGTTTCGAATAAACAAACGTCCATGACATCTTGTGGAGAGACTTCTCATCATTGATAATAAATAATTTGATTTTTTTTCGTATGGAAAAAGAATTTAAAGGGAAAATATTTTGTGAATTTCTGACCTGTTTTGTTTTATTGTTGCATGATTCATTCGGATCCACGAAATAAAAAAAAAAAATTCTATTCAAAGTTTTTATTTTTTTCTAAAACGTTCTGTACAAAAATGAAAACAGCACTAGAGTAGACATTCTATTAACTGCCTCTGACCCAGTACCCCATATTCTAAACATTCAACGTGATTTTTTTTTCGTTCTTTTTTTTTTGGATTATCACTTTTTACAATTCGTTAAGATCCCTGAATTTAGGAACGCAAAGAAATCAGTAGGTAGTAATTCTCCCGTTTAATAATTCCCAGGTAAATTTATTAAAATCAAAACAGTAGTGGAACCATTCCGGAAATTACTTTTTTGGATCGTCCTCTTCCATAGGTTCCAACTCCTGCTGCTTCATGGCTACAGATGATTCTCTGCCATCCTCTCCTATACCCTCAGGATTTTCAAACTGTCTTCTGAAGGCCTCAAGATTCTTCAAAACAGTCCTCTCCCTAGGATTGACGATGGCAATGACCTTATTAACGGCCTCTAACATTTTATTCTTCATTTCGTTATCTTCACACCGAATAATCAATAGTTTCAGGGATTTCAGGAGAGTTTTTTCATCGACAATACTGTCTTCATTAGCGAGCTCCTCCAAGATATCAAAGGCCAGCTGATTGTGGGCAGTGTAGTTAACCCTGTCTGGTGTATGGAAATTGCTACTCGTCAGATCAATGATGAATTTGGCAATGTTGTAGGGATCAACATTGATCTCGTCATCCTCAAGCTTCTTGAGAGTGGGAATAAAAATCTCCTGGAGACAGGTGCAGCTACCTGGTGTGAAGCGAGGATAGAACTTGAAGAATTCAACAAGAGCCGTACGCAGAGCAGCATCGTCCACAGAGATAGGATTATACAGTCGAATTATGAAGGTGGACAGAAGGTTATTGCTCTTGATTTTGCCATGTAAAAGAAGTTTGCAAAAGCCAGTGACCGTGGCAGTTCTAATTTCCTTGTCCATGTGGTCAATCAGAGCGGAATCCTGGAGGATCTTTATTAAGTTGTGCTTGTTGCTCTCACCCTCCGCCTCAAGAGTCACCGACATATCATTAGAACTTGAGTATAATTTCGTGCCATGACGCCTGGTGCTCTGATTTCCCACGCTATTGTCTATCGACTTATCAGTGCTGATGATCCCTTCGAAATGGTCCAGACCATACCGTAGAAACATGTCGAAGATGACAGTCAGGCAGATGAGCCATACGTCGTGGTCAAAGTCTGAAGTCATGGCCATCAGGTACATCACCAGATGTTTTTTTGCCAATTCCCCGTCGAGAAAGAGGCAGACTCCCAGTGCCCTCAAGGCTTGAGCCTGAACACCTCCATCTGCGTGATCCACACTGGGCATTGCCAGATTGTCGAACAGACTCCTGAGGGTTGACGTTAGAGTTTTTACTGAAGATGCCTGGACCATCGTATACATGATGGTGAGGCATTTCATCATAGTTTCCGGATCGTTCTTGGCCTCTTCCTGGGTCTGGGGCACGACGGTTGATGGTGTTGTCGACATCTCCTTTATCTCTTTTCGCAATTTCACCATCTCCTTCTCCACTACCCCAGCTTCAGCGAACTTTCGCTCCCTCACCAGCGTATCTTGATCATTTTGCTTCTCAAGAAGTGTATTCTTGAGGATTTGACACTGTATTAATCTGTCATTGATCTGATCATCCGTTACCTTTTCAACGGCGTTCTCAATTACCTGAGTGGGCACTCGTATCTCACTTATGACGTGCGCCAACGACGTCAAACGCTTGGGCACATCAGGCTCTACCTTCTCATAGTACTTGACGATGCACTCGATTATTTCAGTCGTGCAGACCTCATTTATCAACGTATCCTCGATCAATTGCCTAAGATTCCCTCTTCCCACCTCGTCGCCAAGATCGTACGTCTTGCTGATCTCGAAGAGCTGCAACAGCACAAACTTGTGTGACATCTTCTTGATTTTCACGTCATTGTCCTCGTCAGTATGTGTCTGAGTGTAGTCAATCATCAGTTTCTGAAAGCTTCTTATGTACTGGCAGAAGGTCGTCAGCTCGGGAATTGTGTTTTGGAGATGTTCAGTGGCAGCTTCATTATCAGATTTGTACAGATGCTGAATAAAACACCTCCAATACGCGACATTTTCACCAGTGAGGTCCTGAATTGGTATGAGCTTAGCATCTCTATCCAGTGGAAGTTGCTTGAAGAGAGTATCCAGATTAGCACGTTCGAGGAGTGTATTCAAGACGAGAAAACCCAGGTCAGGGTCGATCTCGATGTCAATACCATAAAGGAACTGGCAGTAGTCATTCTGAAAGCCCTCTAGCCATATCGGCAGAATATGATTCTTCACGACTTTGCGAACACCCTCAGACACGTCCTTGAGACCAGTTCTCAGAATGAGCTGGCGTTGCTTGATGGTCAGTGATTTGACAGTGACTTTCGAAAAAAATATGTGAGCGGTCTTCCTGACTGAGTCGTCGATGTCGCAGATCCTGTCGAGAACATTCAGCAGGACTTTCTGATTCTTAGCTGTGCACTGAATCACAGCTTTTCTCACCTCAGCACTGTTGTCTTTCGCCATGTGATAGATGTACATTTTAATTACAGGGCATTCGTGATTGAGTGGCTCCTGCATCCTGAGCATCGCATGAATCGCCATTACTCGAACCTTTGGGGATTTGTCCATGAGACGCTCTGTCATGGCTTCTCTGATATTCGTGTACATTCCATCGCTCAGGTAAGCGTCTTCGCTCAGAAGATTCAGGAGAAGATGTATGAAGTAACAACAGCGGTATCTCACTGCCACGTCAACAGCTGCATGATATTGCAAACAAAACGAGAAAAGTTTACCAAGCAAAGGATTCAACTCGTCCTCATCCTCGAGGTCCTCATCTTCCTTTTCCGCCTGGGACGGTGGCTGAAGATGGAATGCAAATTTCGCTGCGAAATCGAGAGCATTTTCCACTGATGAATATTTCTCTCCGACCGTGAAGCAAAGTTTCAAACAGCGCAAGTATTCATCAGAGAAGTCGTCGAAATCAGACTGAAATTTGAATCAATTCGTTTATTTTTTCTTTTACATAGTTTGTATTGTTTTAATATTATTTATATATTTACACTGCGGTTGTATATACTCCAAGTGAAACATTATTACTGATTTAATGTTTAGAAGAAACTTCAAATACCTGCTCATAAATCTTTTGCAGCTTCTTCATCAATTTTCGATTGATTAATTTGCTTGATTGAGCTTTATTGAAAGTATCAGCGATCGACTCTCGAAGATCCGGTGGCCGATGTCTCATCATTTTGATTGGATTCTAAAGCTTTATCACAGAGACAGTAGTTCGAATATTTTTTTAACTTTTTTTTTAAGTAGAGGTATGATTTTTGGGACTTTATTTCACATACTCCAGCTATCAAAAATCCAATGACCCACAGCAACACTCGATGCCGCCGAAAATCCGTTATAAAAAGCAATAACCATGAATTATGTGGGAGATGTCTCATACCCCATTTGTAAATTATGAAGGAAAGCCTCGTAGCGAGTGGTGGATCAACTAAATGAATTTATACGGGCAAAGAGAATTCACTGAAGTGGTCATGATATCTGGAAAGGATTTATCGGCAGAGCACAAAATTTCAATCCTATTATTTTTTATGATGGACCTTGTATTTCTGAAGAACTAAATTTTTATTCCCATCATAACGATATAATATAGCGAATAAGAATTTGATTTTTTGGAAATATCTGTTTCACTTCAAAAAAATAATTGGATCGGAATTTTGTACTCGGCTGATAAATTCTGTCCGGGTAACGGGGCAAATAAAATGAAGGCTCACGACCCCCAAGAGGATCGCTGGCATGAATGCTTTTTGTTTTTTATTTGTTTAACCGAAAGGGAAGTCATCTTGTGGAATTTCAAATGGAAAAAATGATTCCATACATTGAAGATATACTACTAATAAAATTATATTTGCATAATGAGCCCGTTGTCTAACGAGCAACGTGCTTGGTTGGCACCCGGACGGCTAGTGTTCGATCCCGCCATCATTCATTTTTTTTTTCAAAATAATTTCAATTTTTTTTTTTGTAAATGGCTAATCAATGAAAAAATCGTTTAAAAAGGGTTACCCCTTAATCAAATCTAATTAATCTTTAACCAAATCCACTTAACCCTTAAGACACGCGTTTGGCGCCCTCCCTCTCTTGGGGTGCAGTACTACGATGCCGCTGGGGTCACTCAAACCCCCAGAACTGAGCCTCTAGTTTAGTCAATCCTCTTTGCTCCGAATTCTTCACTTCCGACTAGTATGATAACATCACTGCACCTGTTTATAGAGTAGTTTTTTTTTCGTTTGCTCCTATTTATTCTGGATACTCAATTTAATTACTTGAAAGAAGAATAGCATAGTTATCAAGACCAGATAATGCGGTGAACACCAGATAGAAGGATGTTTGTGAATTTGTAGTAAAGTGAAAAATCTCTGGAGCAGAATCGTGAATCGTTGACATTGCTGTTGCATCAAGTGCCACACCTCCATTTTTGCTATTTTGGAGCTGATTAATTTGTAATTTCAGAGATGGTACGTCTGTGGTAGTAATTGCACTGAGGGAAAAATATATTTTCTACGATTTTTCACCCAGATTTGTTGACATAAAAAATTACAGAGGATAAATCATGGGAAATCCTAGTGTCTTATTATTTTAACAGATAATTTATACAATGAATGTTTACAGATGCAATTCATGCTGCTGTTCAGTCGTCAAGGTAAATTGCGACTGCAAAAATGGTACGTCGCTCATCCAGATAAACTCAAAAAGAAAATAACTCGTGAATTGATCACGACTATTTTAGCTAGAAAGCCAAAAATGTCGAGTTTTCTGGAGTGGAAGGATGTCAAAGTGGTTTATAAGAGGTCACTATAATAATTTGATCAACAATTCCCACAGTAGATCAATCTAAAAAAATTATTTAACCTGATTTTGCAGATACGCCAGTTTGTATTTCTGCTGTGCCATTGAGCAAAACGATAATGAATTACTGACGCTTGAGATTATCCATAGATATGTTGAATTATTGGATAAATATTTCGGAAGTGTGAGTATACGTGCATTTAAATATTTCTCGCTAAAAATTTCATGCAATTAATAAATATATGACCATATAAAAATATCATTCAAATGCAATAATGTAGAAGAGGTAGATTTATTACATATTCATGTTTTTGCTCTGAAATTTTCAGGTGTGCGAGCTGGATATAATTTTTAATTTCGAGAAAGCATATTTCATCTTGGACGAGCTCCTGGTGGGTGGAGAGATACAAGAGACTAGCAAGAAAAATGTATTGAAGGCTATTGCTGCACAGGATTTACTCCAGGAGGTTAGTTATGGCAATGTACCCCTAGAGTTGTGATTGTCTAACAATAATAATTGTCGCTATTCCTTTTTTTTGTTATCTATCTTCAATGAATCGGAATTGAATGATATAATGGCATTGAAAGACAATTAATTCTAGCGAATCACAAGATAAGGCATAATATTACTATTTCTATGAGATGTTTGATAACTTGATGCTATGTTATCTGAGAGAAAAGAGGGAACGGACATTATTCCGAGATTGTGTCATCGTTTACAAGATTATGGCATAATAATTACAGAATTTTGGAGGAATATTTGACACTTTGTAAAGATCATTGTTTTTATATTTAGTTTCAACTTTACATGCAGAAATTGGCAATATTCTTATGTTTATGTTTGCCTGCACGAGCTGTCTAGTTAGATATCTGAAAATAGAGCAATTTTTGTGCTTAAAGTTAAATCAGAGCCACAAAATTCATCCGGAAAAATACCGAGTATGGGGAATGGGAAGGAATTGTGAAAATTCTAGTGCTGGCACTCGATATTTTATTTGATAACGAGAATTTTTCTTGTTTTTAAATTTTTCCATTAATCCTCAGGGATTTTATTTGAATGGCACTAGAATTTTCTATAGCTGCTGTTGTGCCACAATTATTCGTGCCAAATGTGTTGTCTCGTCGAATGCATGAAAAAGAGTGAAGAAAATGAAGATAAGGGAATTATTTGCACGCATCCCTGTGATCAATGATAGGATTAGATAACAATTCTAGAAGCATGCCAAATTTATTATAAAAAATTCAGTTCCAGATTGTAATAAGATTTTTTTAATCAGTAATCATGTGTTGATGTGGTATGAGTCATAGATTTTGAATTTTTCGCTGGACAATACGAAATCCGAGGCAATTTTTGCAGTGAAAAAATGTTGATTAATCGCAAAATTTCCTCGCGGTTTTCTATTCAGCGAATCTCAAAGTCTGAATGGTATAGACCAGTCTCATTTAATCATTCCACTACCAAAATACGGATCGACCTGAACTGTTGATGTTTCCGCATTTGCCAGGAGAGCTTATAACTTCCTTAATGTCAATCCTAAATTCCTCATTCTTAATCCTTTAATTGTTATTAATTATATGTAAAATTATAAGTATTGCAGAATAATTTACGTGAGAGGAACTGAATTTCTGACTTCCAATTGATGAATACGATCAATTGTTCGGTTTCCCAAAATCAAATTATTCATAAAAATTCTAAAAACCATTCTCTTTATCCCTTTCTAACTGAATTGCATCGACAATTTTCCTACAATCTTAAAAAAAAAAATAAAAAATGAATATGAAGTGAATATTTTCCACATAAATAAAATAGATGCTCGTAAAAATTAATCGTAAATCCCACTCGTTCGAAAACTGGACGATCGATCTTATTCATCAGTCCGCAAGTTCAATGGGTTTAATCACAAATAGTACAATTCCTCAGAGATTTAATATATTGTTGTTATTTAAATTAATTAACCAGTAGATTAAATAGACCATCAATGACGAAATAACGTAGCATAATTTTGGATAATTAATAAATCCAAGAATGTCGTTGAATCGAGCTTACGGAGAATAAGAGAATACTAGTACAATCACCCTCTCTTGCCATTTGGGTAATTAATTTCTGTTTGTAATTTGGAAAAGAAAAATTCTCTAGTCGACACCTTGTTACAATCCACTGCTGTTCCATTTAACAATCATTCATGGAGCTGGCATCGAAATGTCAAATGCTTTAATAGCATTCATTAAAACTTGTTATTATAGAAAATGAAAGTCTAGAGCATCACAATTGATTCATACATACTTTAGAAATACCGCTCTGTATTGAAGTAGGGCGTCGATTAATGTAAATGTATATTTTCTATTGTCTTCTGAACATGAATAAATTCAGTTTGTTGTTGTACCGAGGCTATGATATTGTCGCCATAATAATTCATCTGTAATTTCATACTCCAGTTTTGCATTAAAGTAGCTCTACCCCCAGATCTTTATTTTCTCAAAATTGCATGAGAAAAATCTGAAAAAAATCTATCCCATCAGTATTATATATTTTGTTTATTATTTGATTTGATTATTTTTTCATGAGTCACATATTAACATTCAATTACTATTACAATCTTAATTATTTTTTAATTGAAAAAACTTCACTGTCTCATCCGAATTAAATTCAGCGAAAAAAAAACCGATTGCCACTTTTTTCTCAGATTTTTTTGGAGTAAAGCTACTTTAATTAATTCACTCGAATGTTACTAGATATGATAATCAGCATGTGTGTAATATCTGATGATTTAAAGTAATACCTGAGGAGCTTTTTCGATAATTCAAGTGAAGATAGTGTTAATTGTGTTAGAATGCTGCGTTGGCCACTGCTGTACAGACTTCGATCAAATGCCAAGTTATTTGAAAAATCAATAGAAAGTTTCTTACCGCACGCACAGAAAACTAGTTAGTGTTTGTTTTGTTTGTGGAAGGATGAAGCTGTCGAGGGGGCTCTACGGGAAATAGGGCTTTTGTAAAGAGCTACCGCTGTACCTCGTGTCCCTCACCATCAAAATGATCACCGATACCACCAACCTCTCAACTATCATCTCAGCCCAACGATGCCCATCGCACATCCTGATTTTTAACAAAAAAAAAACAATCTAACGGACTAAGGCATTAGAATTGAATCAACTCGAAATATTTAATAGACGAGACCCTTCGCGATCATAAAATAGGATTGAGAGTATTTTTATATCCATTTTGAATGTTCTTGCAATGTCGATGAATAGTTACGAAAAATCATAATATATTTTGCCATTTCTAGATTATGTGAAAATGTGATAGGGTATGATTATCAATTTTACGGATTTAAAAACATTTATTTTGTAAAAAACGTTGTAATAATTGTACAATGAAAAATATTTTTACTCCAATGGTGTAATTTAAGATTGATCACTCTATTGGGGAATTATTTGTTTTCTAGTTTTTCATTCATGTATCGAAATTTCATGTGCACATTTTAATGTACCACTTCGAGTTACGATTTATATTATTGGAACAACGCACAGTCATTAGAGTTGCAATAAAGATTTTATTCAGCCACGTAATATTTATTATAATTTTCATGTTACAACAGAAATCACTACTTCCACTGGAATTTTAGTGGATGTTTTTTAATCTCATTGCTCTATTGCCTAAAATTTTTGGATAATCGAGCAGTTCACGAAGGGCATGTTAATTTAGTTGTTCTATCATGCATCGCATTGTAAATCTATCGTTTTAACCGTTAGTACGTAATAGAACCGATGGAAAATTAAATTGAAAAATCCAGGGCTTTTGAAAATTGTAAGAAATTTTTGTTAATTTTTTCTAATATCAAGAAACTTCTCTCTTCGCAGAATTCCAAAAGCAATACAGGATAATTTCATAGATAACTTTAGATTTTTTCATATAATTCACACGTTTTACGCTATAAAACATAAAATAAATGAGTTCAGTCGTATGATAGGGGTTCAGTTCAACATTTGAAGCTGCGAAAAAGAAGATTATCTTGTAATGAAGTAGGTACGTTGATGTTTAAATATATTTTCGTTTACATTAACATTAGAGATGTTTATTTAGTATCATGCAGCATCAAAGTAACTCGATACCCTATTCATATTGACCATTGAGAGTTAATTATTCCCAACATCTCCTTTGGACATTGAAAAAATTGTTGATTTTTTATGTTTTAGGAGGAAACACCACAGGGATTCTTCGAGGATCACGGACTTGGATAATCCATAAATAGTCTCTCGATCTTCACGACATTCCATTCCTGCAAATTCATCGTGGAGATATCTCGCTAGGCATTTTCCCTCATCTCGTTAATGTATTACTATTGTTGAACCGGAGCATTTTATTTAAAGCACTGTATTCATCACTTTTTATTATAAGTCTGCTATTTTTATTTCCGTATATTTTAACCAACGATAACCACCAATTTATTACTCCTCCAATTCTTACCCTTCTCTCCTAATTTGAGGAAGATACTGTAATATTATATAATTACATTTTAAATCGATTTGTAGAGATAATTGAGGAAGAATTTTGTTTCTAGATGGTGCAGGCATGAAAAAAATTAATAGAAACATTTTTTCTCGATAGGAATTCCACAGAATTTCTATTAGATTTATATTAAAAAATTCTATTTGTTATTCACATTAATTTTAACAGTAAACAACGTCTGATAAAAAAATCAAGATCTATAAACATTTTTTTTCAGACTAGTAGCAAAAATAAAATCAAAATAGTTTAATAAAATTCTAATAGAAAACCCATAAAATATCGGAGAAAATGTCAAGTTTTTTATTAAATTTTTTTCATACATGTTTATTTAACAATTAAGATAGACTAACATTACACTACTCCAGTCTTGACCGGCAACTCAACAAGAACACTTCACAATCCTAAAAAAAACTTCACGAAGGTGCAAAGTTGTCTCTTCTCTCTTTATTTATACTCCGTTAAGATGTAAAAAAAAAACGACAAAAATAGGTCATGCTTCGAGCTCCGTCCACACTACGATGTATATGAGTATAATTGATAAAGTTGGTTACATTAAAAGCCTCAACTGTTTCCGTGTGGTGCGTTATTTATCCTCTCATCATTCCACGACATACCCAAATCCAAAAGAAAAAAAAAACATGAATAAAAAAGAAATAGCCTTCGAGTTGAAAAATCATGAAAAAGAAATAAGCGTGCGCAGAAATCCACTGGTAAGAATGACGCACGCGCGCATCTGAAAAATTCACTAAAACCCCTGTCTCCTCGTCAACGATAATTCAGCCACTTCGAGCCAAGAGGAAATCATCGGGAATAAAACTAATCAAGTGCGTCCGAACGTGCGATGCCACCGACAAGTGATAAAAAACACGAGTGATCAGACAGCGGAGCGAAAATCGATAAAGTTTATAATCACCACCGAAAAATAGTGAATCCCCGGATAATATAATCGGCAGAAGCAATGACACCCTAGTGAAAATTTCAATATAAAAAAAGCCACCAGATCCCCAGAGGTACCATAAAATTTTTTTATCCTCCCACCATAAGGAAAAACTCGAAGTAAAACCCGAGTACTCGATGATGAGTGAGTACCATCGAGTACTAGGATGTGAAAAATCCAACGCAAACAAATCAAACAATTACAAATCAAATAATTACAAATCGTCGTTCCCCCTCCAGCCGTACACCGACAATTCGTCAATTGCATTGTGACAGATTTAACGAGCAGCTGAAAATTCACTCGGTGAAAAATATATCGAGCAACAAAAGGACAAAAAAAATAAGGGGGGTAAGAAAATAAATCGTTTACATGGCTAAGAAAATATAGCCGCCGCGGCGAGCGATGCGCCAGGGTAAAATCGCGATCCGCGTCGGCGCGTGATTAAAAACGAGTACGTGTGTGACGTCTTGGATAAAGTCGCGTTGGACGCTGGAGGAGTGTTAAGAACAGTCGGAGGACATACACTCCTACACATTATTTTTCCCCCCCTCCCTCTTCCCCATGGTTTGTTAATAAAATAGTGACAGTGGTGAGTGGTGGTGGTGTTCGCATCAGTACTAGTGCTCATAAACATCACGTGATAGTGATTGTTCGTGATAATTTATCCCATTCGAAAGCCCTCGAGACATAATACAAAAAGCGTGAGCTCCGAGCATCGGGGCTGATTCCCCCTTCAACTCCAGATAAATATCCGTGAATATCAAATGCAGCTTGCAAGCTGATCGCCAATTGCTAGGTGATATCCGGATTATTCCAGTGTCTCAAAAATTACCCCTGAAGCATTGTTTATTTATTTATAAAGCCAGTGCAAGGGGGTGCGAGGGGTTAAAGAGGGTGGGAGAAGGTGGAAAAGGGTGGAAGGAGGTGGAAGGAGGTGGAAGGAGGTGGAAGGAGGTGGAATAAGGTGGGAGGGAGTGAAAGAAGGTGGAAGGGGGTGAAAGAGGGTGAAAAGGGGTGGTTAAAAAATGGGAATGCGAGGGGATAAATGGGGGAGAAATGTCGAGATGAAGGGAGTTAGAAGGGGCGAGTGAGAGGGGCTAGAGAGAGAAGTCATAAAAAAAAATAAAAAAAAGATAAAAAGAGAGAGAGAGAGAGAGCCAAGTGAGCGCGCGCGCAAATGTCCTTCGGGGTGGCCGGAGAGCTTTGACAAGCTCGGTGAGAGATAAAGAGAGAAAAATCTTGTGCGGGAGAGGGATAAAAAGTGGGTGGTCTGAGGTGGAATAGGTGGAATAGGTGGAATAGGTGTAATAGGTGGTATAGGTGGGGTAGATAGTGGGGTTGTTTTATAGTGTTTGTGCGCCCCCTTTAGCTGTGCGTAGCACTAGATTTGTAGCAGCACCAGCGGTCAGGCATAATCCATCCGAATCTCTGGAGCTCGGGCATTTGTTGTAAAAGCTCCAAGTAGTGAAGAACCAATGCAACGAGCCAATACAATATTATCCCCCTTGCACACACCCACACCATAACGCACAACCAGTTAATTACGCGTTTATCGTTTATTGATGAGCGTAATTATTGGTTACGGATGGTGGTGCTGTTGGTAGGATATTGGTGATGAAATGTGAAAATTGACGAATTATTTATTTATACGGTTTATAATAGTTATGCTGAGCTGGGGTGTCAGGGGGATAAGGCGAGCATACGGAAATGCGCCTTAGGCACGTTGAACTCATTAAACGGGAGTGCCACTGGCCTCGATATGTACGCGTACGGTTTCGAGATAACGTAGTCATGTAATGTTGTCACGCGGCGCACCCTGCGTAGCTTCACGGTGAAAATCTGGCGTGAACGGTGCCGCGGTGGAACGGGGAACATGGCGTCGGTCTCGACCGAGACACCAGTCAGCCATGGGCACAGCTTTCGACAGAAAACATTTCACAAGCCTACGTACTGCCATAGCTGCACCGACCTGCTCTGGGGTATCATAGGGCAGGGCTACATCTGCGAAGGTAATCATATCCAACATGCATCCAATTCCTTCATCTATTTTTTTATTCTTCCTCTTCATCACTGTGTTATTCCATTTTTCATGTTTTATTGTTTTATATGATGCGATATTTTTCAGGAGCTTTTCCCAATTTTTCACAGAATTTTCAAGAATTTTCAAGAATTTTCAAGAATTTTCAAGAATTTTCAAGAATTTTCAAGAATTTTCAAGGAATTTTCAAGGAATTTTTAGGGAGATATTCCAGCAGAAGAACTGATTTTATAGATGGGAGCTGATGTGGCTTTCGAGGGTGAATTACTTATTTTAACCCCAAGGAATTAAAGACTTATGATTGATTGACTCTCGTTATTGTTATGAATAATCAGGAGAGTAATTATGGGAGAGGTTTCCAGCATGTGGTGTCATCGGATCATGATATTTATCGTTCTGGGGTGGATCGTTTGGGAAATGTATGGCACTGGGATTTTCTTTGGGTGAATGAAAAGTCTGAATGAGAAGTTGATGAAATGCGGATGAAATCTATGTCATGTATTTCTCGTCGGCATTTTTTTCTTAGTTTTTTAACGGTTTTATGACACTGGAAAAATATTATTGTCACTTTTCTAGAGCTCAGGCCTCTAGAAACTCATGCAGTCTCAAAGAATATTGTGAATGTTTACTGACGGGTGTTTTTGGAACCGGAAAAATATAAAATCGACTTCCGAAATACTTCGCAGCTTACTGGCACGATATTACTGGTATTTTTGGATAGTTATGACACGCAACGAGCTTGTGAAGCTTGTTACAAGTTTTCACAAAACTTTGGAGAAAATATTTGTTCCCAATAGTTTTATCAATTTTTATAATTGAGAAATCAGTAGTTTCTAGTTTTCTTTTTGAAAACTTTGTTCTCTACGAATAATAACAATAATTATTTAATATAATTAATATAATATTTAATATAATAATAATTATTATTTAATTTTTTGACTAATCAGCAGTCATCAGGCAATCTCGCAGTTCATGATCAATTTTCCGAGATTTCCTTGAGTTTCCGGTGGTTTTCACGGGAAATTCAAATTCCCAGGGATTTTTCAGGGACATAAATTTTTAAGTAGAAAATTCGATAATGTCTAGTTCAGGTCTACATTCACCGGAAATTCAGGGGAAATCGCTCTGGACATTTTCAAGATTTCGCGAAACAATAGTTGCGAATTTTCAATAATAAATGCGAACTTCTCTCAAACGAGATCATTTTAATTATACTCTGATGACTTTCCGACTTTTCGAAATGGCGGGAATCCCAATTGATCTCGGTTCATTCATAAATATCAGTCTTCACCTGCTCGACTGTCCCTGTAATTCTCCACCATCAATATCAATAAATTCAAAGTTCTCATTATCAACGATAAACAATTAACAATAATCCCAATTAAAAGGAATTTAACCGTCTGAGACGTCAGTGCAGTTGAAAAATATATTACCCCTCAATAATGCGGTAATATAATTACGAAGGCGGACTGGACCTTGAGATTCACTACTGACTAATTAATTATTACGTTATTTTATTTAATTCATGTAATACGAACCGTTAGACTTTGAGTGAACAATAAATAAATTTGAGAATCTTGAATCCCTGGAGACTGAGTCCATCTTGCTCGACCTCTCGCATAATAAATATGGAATTATTATTATTTTTTTTGAGGGAGGGCCGGGGTTTTTGATAATTTAAAAATTGAGTGGAATTTGAGTTGTATTGTTCATCCAAAAAATAATATGGGGATGATGGGGTAGTTGCAGAGGGCGCTAGGTTGTGAGGACGACTGTTGGGCATTGATCGTTTGGGGTATGAGGTGGTGGAGGAAACACTGGGGGCTGAGTAAGTTAGAATGAATGGAGGGAGGAAAAACAAACGAGACAAAACTGGATGGTATGACCAGGAGTCATACAGAAGGGCGAAAAGCCGACGGGGATGGGGTGACTGAAAAAATATGAGAGGCTCACATCATTGGGCTTCAAAAAGATCAACATGCCAAAGGCTCTCTGCACTTTTTCAACTGCCTCTCTATCTTCTTTTCTTTTTCCACTTCAATGTCTGTGTCATGACTTATTTCCAGTGGAAATGAGAGACGAGATCATCTTTTACGTTATACTATTATTTTAATCTCTTTTGTTTTTTTTTAGAAATAAAAATTTGGAAAAAAATTTTGATTTTTTCGAGAAAGAAAAATTTTGAATAAAAATTTGTTTTTTTTTTTTCGAGAAAGAAAAATTTTGAAAAAAAATTCGAAATGTTGTGGAGATGAGTTACGACCTGAGAGAAGATATTCTATTATCACTTGTTTATAAATATGCAAAATCAATAATTATGTTGACATTAGGATAATTATATGAATTTTAGTGAAGAATAAATGGAATGATTAAATTTAATCGATACAAATAATGATCTGGAAAATAATTAATGTAATTACTAAAGGAATTAGGAAATTGTTATTGTTATTACTGTTGTTGTTTTAATGTTTTTTTGGGTATTATAAATAAATATATGGAATTTAAATAGAAGAGAAAAATATGAGTTGAATTTGTTGTCGAGATAAGGAATAGATTTTTCTTATTTTTAGTCTGCGTGGTACATTTGTCAGTTAATGAGCACTCAATTTTCATTCATGTTTACTCGGGGAATGGATAGACTGGGGAAGAATGAAATGAGGGAGAGAATGAGTGAATGTGTGGTGAGAATAGATATGAATACATACTGCGGTATGAGCTCTAAATGTATGCACAATCTGCAACACTGGGCCAAGGGCATTGTTCAAAAGCACACAAAAGACTTGTAGAGGGGTTTATTCAGTCTTAGTTCACAGAGACCAACTGTGAAATATGGACATTGTATTCAAGTTTTTGTTAGGCTGCCTTTTTTTATCCGAATTTTTTATCAATTCCGATGTAATCATTCGTGGTTTTCCATTTTTTCCCCTTTCATTTAAACTGATTTCACGATTCTCTCGGTTTTTCTATTTTTTATAGTAAAATTGTCCCGTGGAATATTTTCCATTAATGATATTCATGAAAAATTCAATGTTATTGATTTTTTTTTTGAGACAATTACCGGGAAATTTTGGGATTTCAATTGGAATTAAATTCGAAATTTTTAACAGGATGGGGTATAATTATTCGCGCATTAATTCTCGTCGAGTTTATTTTAATGATTATGTGGGATAAGGAGTTCTATCCAATACACTCTTACATGAGTGGCGTGCAAACATGTCCCAGTGGGACAATCTGGTCTGTCACTCCCATGAGAACTATTGTTCAAAAAATGGAGCAGCGGTGATAAAATTTTGTTTGGACTTGATTCATCCTCGTATTGAGAGAAATGAGAATAAGTTGTTATGCTGGTGGTTGGTATTGATAAAAGGATGGAGAAAAGGCTTAGCTCGTGTATGTGAGCCGGATGTAGTCGTCTCTTCTGTTTTACATTGAGTTGGTGACAACTGTAGCCAACACTTGCCTCGACATTTCACGGTTGAATCGATTGTTCGACTTGTCATTTCAATATTGTTCCATTATGGTAAATCATATCGACTAGAAATACTGCTCCTGCAAGGTTTTACCCTCACCCTTTCATCAACTCCCCGACATTTAATTATTTTCTTCACTTCTTCATTTTATATTGTTAATCTACTTTTCTGTCACTTTCAATAATAAGCTTTCAATAAATCAAATAGAAACAGAAAGTTGCCGATTAATAAACATTTTTTTCAGTGAAACAAATTATTGATATTATTACCAATTATTATTAATTGTTTATCCAGTTATTAGTGTTATTAAGGATTAATTACGAATTATTGGAGGAAAGAGAGAATGGAGTACAATTTTGTAGGGATGCGTTGAGAATTTTTATTCTCTGATTATTTATTTATTTATTTATTGTTTTGCAGTTTGCAACTTCGTGGTGCACGAACGCTGTCTCAAGGCCGTCGTGTCTCCCTGCTCCAGCATCGCGGCAAGCCTCATTAAGGTGCACATCATTTTTATTTAAATAAAAAACAATCGAAATAGCTCACATGACATCTCTGGTAATTGGAAATCAATAATTAAACAATTACAAAATTTCGTTCTGTCTCTTTTGCCGTTTCAATTCATTCGATTTCCAATAAAATTCGATAAACTGTTCTCCGATGGACAGTTCATCTCTGTCTCTTTGAAATCAATTAATATTCAGTTCAATTAATAAATTGATTATTAAGGAAAGCGAGGAGTGCTCTGAAAATACGTAATTGTTTAATTCAGTTTTACCCGAAACTTCATTTTGATAATTCCCCATAATTTCGATGGAATTTTCTTCTAGCTATTATTTAAAATTCCATAAAATCCACAATCGAGTAATCAATTGTTATAATTTTTTTTGTCTCTGACTAGAGTGCAAATTCGCGTTCGAAGTAGTAGCGCACGTGATGCGGTCAGCCAAATAGACAATTAAACAAATTCCTTAATAATAACGATTATATTATTATGTTTTATGAAAGAATCCGGTTGCACACTGTTGGTCCGAACCGGTGCATCACAAGAAAAAATTTTGCAATGTCTGTCGTAAACGTCTCGAGGATACATCTCCGTCCGTACACTGCGAGAGTAAGTGAATGTTTATAAATAATAAATAAATTGTAACCACTGATGTGTAAAAGTGTACATTTATTTATGATTGCAGTTTGCGAGTACTATGTGCACACGGACTGTCAGGATTTTGCTGTTGCTGACTGTAAAGAGAATGCTACGTACCTACCAGGGAAGGACTTGGGCTCGGTGAAGCATACGCATCACTGGCGCGAGGGAAATCTACCGAATAATTCAAAATGCGCCGTTTGCAAAAAGAGTTGTTTCTCCGCAGAGTGCCTAGCTGGATTCCGCTGCGAGTGGTGTGGCATGACGGTAATTGTTGTTGCATTACGTATGGATAAACCCATTGCACCCGTCTCTGCACCGAGATAAGCCATTTGTTTCAGTCCACTGCAAATTGTTTATTAACATATCTATTTGTTCCAAGGCAATAAATCTCCGCGATAAATTAATCAACAAACGGTTCGTTCATATCGACTAGAAGATTTAAAAATAAAAATTTATCACATTTATTTAAATTTTGGTTAAATAACCAACGGGTTTTTTTTATTATTTTTTTAATTATGGATTTTGGATAGTTCAGGTAATTCGCGGATTGTTGGAATCCAATGAATAAATTTTTGTGAAAAAATGTTTTTTTAAGGGGAATGGAGCATTTAATTGAATGAAAATGGGATGTATCACTGGAATCAATTTTTGGGTTTCTTATTTATTTGATTGCAATAAATAATTTATGTTTACCCTTGATTATGATTTTATACTTCTCATAGACAGATTCGTAGATTCATGATCTAAGAGTTGGAGCTTCGTTTATTATTAAACGTTTGAACCAGAAATAAGTCGACCTGAATGCGTGAGAAAAATCAAATCAACACTTCTCAACAAAATTCTTAGTAAAAGAACAATCTCTCTTGGAATTTCATAAAATCAAACGAGTAATTCATTCCAAAATGGACAGAAAATCTGAATATTTAGAATTTAAAAATTATTCAATTGCATTTACCGACGGTAGTGGCCGTGCGGTTAGAGTGCTAGACTAGCATGCCAGAGATCCGGGTTCGATCCCGGGCACCGGCGGTCAAAAATTTATAGCGCTCTGATCTCACGGTTCCACTGCCGAGCGGTAGTCCTGTCAAAAGGACGACTGTACCTGGGCAGGTTTTTTTCCCTCAGATGAGGTTTTTCCCTCCCTTCAAGCAAATGCGGTACAGGGGGTTGGGGGGGGTGGGAAGGGAACCAACTAACCGTAAAGACCCGAAAGGGTATACGAGAGAAAAGAAATTTTATTTTATTCAATTGCATTTATTGCATTTATTGCATTGATTGCATCAATTGCATCAATTGCATCAATTGCATCAATTGCATCGACTGCATCGACTGCATCAATTGCATCAATTGCATTTATTTTCACTGCAAAAAATTATTGTCCAAATAAATATCAATTTTCTTCAATATTTTTTTTTTTTTTCATTTCAGTCGCATCCTTGGTGCCAAAAGAGCAAACTGATGCGTCAAGAATGTACATTTGGCAATTTGGAGCCAATATATCTGCCACCGTATGCGATCAGCATACCGCGTACCGAAGTACCAATGGAAGCAATAATTGGTGTGCAAGTACGCCGGAAAGATATTCTCACCCGTAAGTCGTCCACAATAATCTAGCGCACAAGAAAAAAAGTTTCTGAATTCATTAATTTGTCACCAGTCCATTGTAAAATAAATCCCAAATTATTCTAAACACTTCAAAATTATTAATATGACATAAATAAATGAACAACATTTATTACATTTATGGCATTACAATTGCATTTATTAAATTCTGTTTTGACTTGAACAAATTAATTTCTAATGTCAAGAAACTTTTCCTCTCTGTGAAAAAAGTAATGAGAATTTATTCTCCGTTTTATTTAGTCACGAAATAAATCACAAACGATTCATCAATATTGTCTATTCCACGTATTCTTAACTTTGTGATGCATTACGTGATTATCAAACAGTCTACTGTTAGGTTTAAGCATGTTCCAGTTAAAATTGAAGTTACATCATTGCTTTGGTTCATATCTTCGAAAGTTGAGATTATTTTATACCGCGGGAGTTATTCATTGTTCATCCAATAACGATTATTCTCGAAATCATGCGAATGATATTATCGTCCCGATAAATTCTCACTCAACTCGAACTACTGTGGTATACTATCATTGCACGATCACTTGTGATATGTGATACGCGTGATGAACATAATTAGACGTAATTAAACATTATCCATTTCGGTAGAGAGATGGCAATGTGAGATACTAATTTTAATTCCGTTAAATACCGATTTATCGCGAGAACTATTGAGTTTGGGAGAATATCTCAAAAGACTTTTTTCAGGGGAAATTTCATTGTCTATAAAAAAGTCATTTGATGTTTTTATCGGAAGTTGATAGTTCTTGAGATAAATCAATAATGAATAATTGTAGTTCGATTATGTCACTTTACCAATTCACTGCTGATTTAATTCTCACCCACAAAAATGTGTCAATTAAATTCTCTTGTGTTGCAAACATGTGTTTCAAACATGCCACATTAACATCATGCTTGCCGATATTTGTTCATGCCTGAGAAAAAAATATTCTCCATTTATAAATATTGCTGTACCATTTACTAAATCCCAATAGAATTTCTACAAATTTCCACCAAAAATGCAACAGATTTTCCAGAAAAATCACTCGGTATTGAATTTTTTCCTGCATTTCCTGTTGTCTCTCAAAATTAAAAAATTACCGAAAGCTCAACGTGTGAATTAGCTGTCTGGTTTGGAATAATTAATATACAATACCAACAAGTGATCCTGAAAATAATGGATAGCAGATAAATAAAAAAAAATTGACGCAATTCGGATTATCATTTGCCTTGTTATTAGTTGAAGATAACATCGGAGAGCAATTCGAATTTGCCGAGAGTGAACAAATTGGTGCGGCTGGTCATCTGGCCGAAGCTTTCAGACGGCTTTCACTAGTTTTTCCACGTAGCTGCCATGGAAATTGTCATGCTTCCCCTCCTTATGTTCGAGGTACCTTAATATTATAAACAAATCGCCGTGCAACTATGTTTGTGAGCATAACATATTATATCGATTATGAAAAAATACCGAACATTAACTTGCATCACGCCGGGAACAATGCCAATCAATCTAATATTACCTGATATTCGTACTAATTCATTACTTAATTACCGTGACACTAGTAGGTATAGCCAGTGTGTGGATATTTATTATTTAAGTTTGTGTATCGTGTGCAAACAATCAAGTACATGACGTACTTTCTTTCACAATTACATTCACGTGAATCGTCATTTTTTTAATGGGAGACATTCCAGCGAAATTTTTATTACAAACGCAATTACTAGGACCCGTATTAAAAAATTGGGTCGAAATACTTTGGGGTTTTAAAAAAGAAAAAAAAGAAGAAAAAAAAATATGGTAATAGGAAAAGGAAATGTAAATAAAAAAAAATACTTTGGATTTTCTCTGGAGATTCTTCTGGACTTCTAACGAATTTTTAATGAAATTTATTATATTGTTATTATTTAATGCAATAGAATTTCTAGAGATCCTAGAAAAATCCAATGAAATTTTTAGAGAAAGGTTTTTCTATTCAATTTTTTTCATACGAACGCATGCTCACCTTAGTTTCATGTTTCCCCACACAGGAAAAGCCAACCGTAAAACAACGTAATTCATGATATTTCAAATTGCATAAATCACGAGATAAACAAATTCCCCCTTCACACGCCCAAAAATATAAATGACTCATTAAAATTGTTTGAATTTCTTGAATCATTAGCGCTTTATTAGAAACAAATAATTTTCGATTCCTAAATTCATAACTCACCCCTTTGCAATCGTAATTTACGATCTGACACTCGTAATTTATCCATTGAAAAACATCATAAATTACATTTAAAAACGCATACTCAACATTTACTGTTTTCTGTGTGCTATTTCCATAACTCGGTCTTTGACGAACATTTGCGATGGCGAGGGAATCACTCATGTATTTTTCCGTACAATTCCATCATCCATTTTGCACACACGACACTAGCCCTCAAAATGACAACCGCCCAGTATTTACAAAATGCAAAATGCATTTGTTGCTTTTTTTTTATCCCATTGTCCCTCCAATCTCATTTCTTTTCTATTGTTGATTCAATAATGTCGCATTGATGAGTATAATGCGTGGGCATTTACGCCTGCTCTCGTAAAGTTTGTTCATTAAACTGCAACAGAATACTCGTCAGATGATTTTTTTTTTCTCCATCCCAACGTTCTCTCTTTTGTTGACACATTTGTTACTGCATATTTGGTGTTTTAGCATGTTAACTTGTGTTCGCTTCATCGCATGCATCAACCATCCAACTGCTGGTGTTCAACTGAAGATATTGGAAAGAAAATAATGAAATGATGATTAGCAGCTCCTGTGATTAATGAATTATTTGAACATGAATCTCTGCATGTGCTTTGTCCTTCCCAGGGCCATGGCAACTCTTTATGTATTCATGTTGTGTGATGATGGTAAGCGATGTGAAATTGTTGTTCAATATTATTATTATTCGTCGATTATTGGTAATCATTTGTCATTCGGAAGTTTATGCAACGTGATGGTTTCATTTGTGAGGTACATGACACCGGGAGAAATTATTTTTCGCAAATGTACACTGAGAGATAAATTACTACTACAATTTGCTTTTACGTTTACTAATTGTGAAGTATATTACCCCTGAAGAAATTTTCTCTCTACCATTTGAATAAAAATTATAATTTCACCCTCGAAAATAATGTGAACAATTTTCTAAATTATCTAAAATTACTCTTAATTACTTTTTCGATTAATTCATAAATGAATTTGATGACGAAATAATTCTGATTTTTCATTGACAATTGTTCCAATTCTAGGAATTATTGTTTATTTTGGAGAAGCGATTGAAATTCAGTTTTTATATTTTTTTTTTCGCGAATGAAGGAATATTTGTTGTAATTATTTTCTCAGTGAAATATTGATCTGGGACAGTCGAGATCCTTTTCCGGAAGATTTTCTACGATATTCTGTTGCTGGAATTGTTCCAGTAATTGATGACAATTATTTTCCTTGCAGCACGCAGTATATCCGAGGAATTCAGCAGCGGTGACACAAGGAACAGAGATAATGATGAGCCGACACAATCGAGTAGTGCACACAGCAGAGATCCAAGATCTCCCAAAGAGAAGGATGATAAAGAGAGAGGAGATGAAGGTATGAATTTTGGTAGAAAAATACTCCGGAAATTTTTCTCATCCTTCAATCAAATTTCATAAAAATAACTCTTATAAATACATACGAAGTTCACGCTTCAGATTTTCTAAAAAAATTATTAAGAGATTCATTTAAAAATAAAGAAATCGCAGTGTTTCAGGTATTTAATGATTTATGGAATTTTTATATTGCAGAAATGATTAAAGTGTATGATGGCAATATGTCTCTCAAGCGGAAAATATTCCGGGTTATAACGGTGTCGCGATTAGCAACCACTGAGCAGGTTCTCACGTCAGCTCTTAGGGCGTTCCACATCACAAAAGTACATCCAAGTATGTGGCATTTTCTCAAGTTATAGCTGAAGAGTACCCAATAGGGGAAGTCCCTGTAATCACACCCCCCCAAAAAAAAGAAATCACACTCACTATTTACACCACAATTAAAAATAATCAGTAAATATTTTTTATGCAACTCACATAAAAATCTTCAGTATGAGCTTATCAAATTTGATCACCACATTTTTTTTTCCTATTAATTTTCTGATTGAAGAACTGGAACGCGAACATCTGAAGAATTTTATTATGATTATAATTAATAAATAAATTAATAAAATAATAGAGTGATAATTTTGTAATTGGTCGAGCAGAAAATTAATGAGCAGATGTTACAGAAACTTTCTCCGTATTAAATATTCTCAGATCGCCAGTAAAAAAATTGTGATTGTCTGATTAATAACGATTTTTATCACTACCCAGGTCTTTTTTATCTTACCGATTTATACGCCACCGAAGAGACACCACTCTGTGATCCAAATCCAGTGTTAAATTTAACTCGGAGAGAAGGCAAACGACGTGCGGTATTTTTGCGATACAAGTGAGTTTCCCCCGTCATTTGGTACTTCATTAACATTTCATTAATAATTGTATCACATTACTCGTGATTTTTTCTCCCTAGGGATGAGGAGTGCGGTGAAGTCCGGGTTTATCCTGGCAAACTGCAAATAGCGGATCCATTCTGTATAGTTCCAGTTAATGACTCAACAACCGTCGCGGATCTGATTCAAGAGGCTCTTCTACGATTTGGCGTGAAGGACTTCAATTGCGAGGATTATCGTTGCAGTGAAATACTTTTAGATCGTGGTGGTGAGTGTCGCTGAGATAATCCAATGAAATAAACAATTAACCATGCATTTATTTTAAAAAACTGCAAACCGTGAATTTTTTCCCTTTTAATATCGATTTATTTATAAAATTATAGATTTTATAATGGAGTGTAAAAGATTATTTGTTTGGAATTTAATTATGCGTTCTTTTGGTTTCTTTTAGAAATTTAGCTCTCGAACAAGAGCTACAACATCTGTGGTCCATCATAAATTAACAATGTTTACACAAAAGTAATCTTTGTAATGTTTCAGTATCCGAGAAGGTGCTGGAGCTCACGGAAAAGCCATGGGACGCTGTCAAACAACTTGGCAAAGACTCAATCAGGCAAATGGAACTCATGAGATTTTATCTCCAGTTAAAACAGGATCCACACGGCCCTAATTTAGCGCTATTCGTCGGCAATCTGCCAGTAAATTTGAATGAAAAAGTTTACGAAAATATACTCATTGATTTCTTGGGACAAGGTACAATATCGATGTTAAAATCACATCAACAATCAATTCAGCAGCGAAAAGGAGAAAATCGATTTGAGATATTTAATCCAAGAGAGATAGCAAAATTTTTTTCGAAATTATTTATCAGCTGGATGATTGCCTCTTCGCTGCTCAATTTATCTTCCCCTCGTTGAAATTCTATATGAAGGCCATAAACTGTTGTTCTAATTATAGAAAATAAATTCTCGTCGATTGGACCGATATATTACGAGTATGGATCCATGGTAATTATATATGAAGATGCTAATAAAGCAGTGAGAGCATTGTACCTGTTGCGAGAGTCACAGTATGAGGATAAACATCTGTTAGTCATGCTTCTACCAAGTATTGAACCGAGTATGGTACCACCGGGTGTACAGCCACTTCTTGTATTCGTCAATGTTAAATCGGGTGGATGCCAGGGGCTCGAGTTAATTTCAAGTTTTCGAAAATTACTCAATCCCTATCAAGTATTTGACTTGGATAATGGAGGTCCACTACCTGGGTGAGTGCCAATCCTCAATATCACTGAAATACTCAAAAATATCTCCGGATCCAACACAGGTAGCGAAATTTTTGTAATTACCTTTTTTGTAGCGCCCGATTTCCCCTCCAAAAAAGGTTCTATCGAAAATTATGATATCGGCCTCAGATTACGAGGATTACCGATCGAAATAAGACGACTGAAAATTGTACCTCAAAAAATCATTACAAAAAATATTATTTTGGGTTACGTGTAGGTGGAAAAATTAGATTATCGTTAATTATTTCTGTTGATAGGTTGTATGTGTTCCGTCATATAAGACATTATAAGATACTGGTCTGTGGTGGCGATGGAACGATAGGATGGGTCCTGCAATGTTTGGACAATGTTGGACAGGACAGTGAATGCTCATCGCCGGCTTGTGCTATTGTGCCACTTGGCACAGGCAATGATCTCGCTCGTGTACTTTGCTGGGGACCTGGTTACACCGGTGGTGAAGATCCTCTCAATTTGTTGCGTGATGTCATTGATGCTGATGAAATAAGACTGGACAGGTGGACAGTCGTTTTTCATCCTCAAGCCGAGCAAGATGATACCGGCGGTGAGTTTAATTCATTTCAAGACACATTTCTCTTCTCCAGTTGCTACGAAATTTTACAAAAAATAATTCCCTTCTTTGGGCTAATGCTACGAAGAATTATTCATTTTAATATTAATCCTTGTGTGACTTATTAAATAATGTATGGAGAATTGATTATTTAGAGAATGAGTGAGCGATTTTGATTTAATAGGAGCTGGATCGAGCGAAGACAATTCCCAGATATTTGTCATGAATAATTACTTTGGCATTGGCATCGACGCCGATTTGTGTTTGGACTTTCACAATGCCAGGGAGGAGAATCCGAATAAATTCAATAGTCGATTGCGGAATAAGTCCGTGTACGTCAAAATGGGACTGAAGAAAATGGTCGGACGAACCTGCAGGGATTTGCAGAGGAAAATACGTCTGGAAGTCGATGGTAAACTAGTCGATTTACCACAGCTGGAGGGTATTATTATACTGAATATATTGAGGTAATTATCCTACGCAGATGAATTAATCACCATTTAATGCTGTAGCAAATAAAAATTTATAAAAATTGAAGAGACACCTGAAAAAACGAGAATTTTAAGAGAACGTGTTTAATTGATATTGGGAATTAAGATTAATTGAGTTAACCGATGATTCCATCGAATTTTTGATGCAAAAAAAATGAACGGATTCCGATATTTGCTTCAGAAATATCAGGAGTGACTAATGAGTAATTATTTTAACGAATTTCAGTTGGGGCTCCGGTGCGAAACCATGGGGGGAAGACAGAGAGGAACAATTTCACAAGCCAAATCATTACGATGGCATGCTGGAAGTGGTGGGTGTTACAGGTGTTGCACACTTGGGCCAAATACAATCGGGGTTTCGTACAGCCATGAGGATAGCGCAGGTATAAAAAATAAATACAATATCTTTTTTCAAATGGAATTTGTGAAAATAGCAAATTGTTATTACTGCGGTGTTGAAAAATTAAAGGAATGAATTTCTCGAGAAAAATAATGTAGTAGATCATTTATTGCACTCGAATAAATCGATGAATGAATTATTGAAGAAGTTGCGGTGTTTTTATGGGGTTTCAGGGAGGACATATAAAAATTCACCTGAATTCCGACATACCAGTGCAAGTGGATGGCGAACCGTGGGTGCAGAGTCCTGGTGATGTCGTTGTGCTTAAATCTGCATTAAAGGTAATTCATGCCTGATCTTTAATTGTCCAATTTATCCAGTAACTCATTGACTCTCGGGTGCGATTAAAGTGACATGAGCTTATCTCTCTGGAATGGTGATTACTCTAATCGAATCTCGATAGCACGTCTTTATCATTGTTGCACGTTACATTATTAATAGAATAAATCGTCAGTGTTTTTTCTACATTTATATAGAAGGTAGTTAATTTCTTTGAGAGAAAGACAGACGAGGAAGCTTGCGTCGACATTAACTCATACAAAAGAATCTCACAAACATTTTCTGTTAAAAAAACTACCCGCGGAATTTTCCAGAGATTAAAAATTCATATTGATATTCTATAAAATTTATTCCATGGAAATTACGCCAGAGGATGAATACCATTTTTTAATATAATTATCTCAAAACTTCAATAAAATTTCTGTACAAAAATTCATGAGCATTGCGTAATAATATTGTAATTTGAAAAATTACTGCGTACAGAACATGTTCGAAGAGATTTTGAATACATATTCAAATGGGAGAATTTCCGATTGAATATCGATTAACGATTGCATGCAGTAATTCCTCCGTGTCCTCAAAGAAATCACCCCCCCATATTTTCCCTCAATGGCAAATCTACTAATGTCTCCTTGTTCCTCTGTTCACTTCAGGCTACCATGTTGAAGAAAAATAAGATCAAGCGTCGCAATACCGAACCGTCGATTCTACCGGCTAATGGGGAGGGGGGAAAGTGCACAGACGAGTAAATCATCAAATCTACAATTTGAAAAAGATAGACTAATGGATATCAGTCGGTTTATCTGATTTCAATGAATTCACGAGAATGAGAGTTGAGAGATTAAAAAAAAAATTAATGACAGATTTAAAGGGTCTTGCAGATCTCTGCCTAGGCTCCTCTATGTGCATATGCATATATATGCTATGTATATATGCATTTTGTACATGCGCGTGCTGTGCACTTGGAAAACTGAGGAGTTTCGGACGAGACAGACCTTTAATGCGGTCGATCCAGCAAAATCCTCCCCGAATGCATGCCCTTCTCATACCCCATTCCGCAGATCCACTCTCTTTTATTCTATTTCCTCTATAATATATTTAATGCACCTCATTTAATCCTGGAGAAATTATCCTTAATATACTCCAATCGTTTAAACAGTCCATTTTTAGAGAAAACAATTTTTAGAAAAATATTTTTAGGAACGGTTCTAAATCTAAGGGAGATACCGCCATTTTCGTCAGAACCTTTTTTAAAGACGGGAATAAGAACTATAGAATAGGTTCTCACGAAAATTTTGTTATTTCTACTAGATTCGGAGATATTCTTTGGAGAAGTGACGGACAATTGTTGCGGTTATCTGCGATTTTCCAGACAAACCGCGGAAATTGTTTAATCGATGGAAAATTTGGGGCTAAATTTACATTAGCGAGAAAACGGGCATGAAATGGGGAATTGATTAGGATTGGCAACAAATTTTATTTTCTATGCGCAATTGAAAAAATGAATTGACATTTTGAATTTTCACGGAGTCGATAAGACTTTCTCGTGGATTTCAGTTAAAAAATTATAAACATTAATTTATTGAGGATTATTTTTACCAGGATTAATCGGCGTGTTGTCATGTCAATATACATACACGTGCGATTCTCCATTTTTTAAGGCAATCCCCTAATTGGAAATTAATTACTACGATTTCAAATCAAAAGATTCAATGAAAACCCCCACATTTTCTAGCTGCAATTCGTTCAAATGTCTTCTCTGAAGAGAATTTTTTAATAATTTCCTAAAATAATTGTGTGTGCGTGTATGTACATATATACATGAGAATTGATTCCACATTTTATTTATTATCCGAGATTCCTTAATGATCCGCCCCTGCCCAATACAGCCTTTAGTTCCTGGATAACATATGATACATGTGTACATTTAGTATACGACAGTAATCGTATGTATTGATATGGACTAGCCATATAAATTCTTCCATATAGATTTTTTTCAATTTTAAAACATAAAGAAAACTGTGAAGCAAGATTTTTTTATTCCGTCGTACGTTATGTATATTATATATATATTTCTTTAATATTTATTTATTTACTCCTCACGTACTTTTTTCATTGATCTGTACTCACAAATAGTTGAACCACAAATGATAACTTTCCTCTCGTTGTCTGATGATATCTCAAATTTTCCGTCCTTTGATATTTTTTCAAATGCATTATTCAATTATTTATTATGATCGTTGAGATATTTTTGCAATTAGTGGAAATTTTGGTGAACTTGTTGGGAAAATAGGGTGGAGGGAGATATATATATTTTTTTTTTTCGAAAAAATATATCCTTTGTGCAATTCCCCATGATCCTGTCCCTTCCTAGGCCACGATGCTGAAGAAGACCAAGGTTAAAATGAAGCGACGAAATACAGAGCCAAGTATGCAACTAGCACTTCAAGCAGCTGCATCTAATGATCCTGATACTGAGGTTTTCTGAGTGACAGCTGTGGACACACCGAAATTCACGGTCAATCGTCCAATATCGAATCAATCATTTCAATCCGACTGCTAACCCTAGCGAATCACGATAATGTCTCATTAAGAGATCCCCTAATGAGCCGATCTCTGCGATTCAATATACTTTTTGCAATTAAACAATCAAAAAAATTCATTCGAAACTCACAAATGCGATTTATAAATAGATTGCTGAATATTAAATTGAATAAATTTGTTTATAGTAATTAATTGACAGTTTGGAGTGCAATTGGAATTTTAATTGTTTGAAAGAATTCCAATTTTTAATTAGTATTCGTTGGTGATGCCTTTATTATTAAATAAATTAAATTTTTGGTTCATCTGAATCGCAGGGCTCGTCCCATTGGGAAAAGCGAAAATCTTTCGGCTTTAATTTACACCTCGAAAATTCATCCGAGTTCAGCACAACTGATTGTTAGACACAATGAGAAGTCACGAGAGAATCCAAAATGCGCGAAACACATGAGAGGAATCAAATATTCCAACGTGAATGTCAATAAAATAATATTTTTAAAAACGGCACGTCGATTAAGAATTTTTTAAAAGAAAAAAATTGACAAATTCCGTGAGAGTGATAACGAGTTCCCTTTAGCGTCGATGATATTTATTTTCTCGTTTCCTGTTCTCATTCACTGTAAATTACAATATTGCAGTTAAATACGGATGAATATTTTTTTAAACATTGACCGATCGCCGCGTGAGAAGCCGATGTGAAATAATTGGCAGGAATACAACAAAAATTAATGAAAAAATCCCGTAATGAATGAGGAAGTACCGTTACGATAATGCTTACACCATTTTATTTTTGCATTTAGGTTTACATGATTTATTACCCACGAAAAATAATCTGTGAAAAAATAAAGGAGAAACCTGTAAACTGTAATATGTACATTACGTTTCGTATGGTATTTTACCAGAAAAAAAAAAAATATCTACAGAATAAAAAGATAAATATCGTGATACATATCGGGTATCATGATAAAAACAAAATGAAAAAGAGAAAGGCATCAAGTCAGTTGTTATTGATATATTATTATATAAAAATATTTACGATTAAATATCAATATATTTACATACTATTGTATTAGTATTACCGTTTTAATTTGTCATTGTTGTCAAATCTGACTGCCGGGCAGTCTGGAATAACCTTAACAAAAAAATAATAATAATAAAGAAAGAAGAATTAAACCAGTCGCAGTCAGTTTTACTAATGAACAAATTCATCAAACGTAATTTTCGTAGAGGGCAACAAAAATGGATAAAATGAGAAGGACCGCGGGCACGGCATCTTTGCCAATTCGTCTCTCAAATTAACCGAAGTTTAATTAAAAATAAACTCAATCAACAAAATTGCTGAGTAACGAGGCGTCTTGGCAGCGCCAGAACTATTAATTTAAATGAGGAAAATAACCAAAAAAAAAAGATGATAATGTAAATTTAGTCGGTCTCGAGCAAACTTTGCGCTAGAAGTTTGCTCGAGTCCCTTGTTAGGAAAAATTCATGACATTCCACTGACGTGTGGTTATATAAAAACAAGAGAATCAATGTAAATTGATGTAATAAAAATGCCAAAAAAATGGAGGAGAGGTGTTTCAATGCGTTCAAACAATTTAGGAAATTAACTGAACGGTGGATAATTATCCCAGGGTGAATCTGCGGCACAGACACTTATGAGTCAATCATGGCTTTCAAGACACCATTTGAGACTTTTTCGCGCGTCCAATATGTTGAATTGGGATAATTGAATGAAAATTTGAGAATTGAACGAATGTGACACGCGACGACGTGTGACAAGTGGCAGTTTTAGTTTCGACAATTGGAGTGAGTGCGATTGTGTGTATTTGGCATCACTATTTGATTCAATGGGACAATTACCGGTGCCAAAAAAAATAAAGATGTACATAATAATATTATAATGAAAAATGTAGATTTGTAAGGTGCGCTGAGTGAATGATTCTCGATTGAACAAATTATGTTTTCGTTGGGTGCTAGACATTTAGACGCGTCGAATATCGCATGTCAAATTGTTACGACAATTATTCATTTAAGTGACAAAGGGACTCAAGTGGGCTGTGTTGCGACGCTTGGGTCACAAACTTATGGCAACATAAGTCGAGATTAATCTAAAATTGCAGTGCTGAGGACAATTATGCCTTCGTTAATGTGGGTGTGTGAGGGAGAGAGCTAGTGAGAGTGTGATAAGAGAGTGAAGTTATAATAATTGAGAGAAAGACAGAGCGAAATGTCACAGGTGACACGGGACAGACACTCAGTTTGTGTTATAAAAAAAAAAAAGCGCTTGTAGAACGCGCTCTTGCACCTAGTCGACTAATCCCGTAGACTTCGCTGGATGTCTTAGAACTATTGAAAAAAAAAAGTATAAAACAAAAACACTGGAAATCACTTTTGAAAAATTTCATTACAAATCTATCAAAAACCAATAAATTATCGAGACGCCTTCGTTCTCCGGATGATCAAGTGGCATCTCTTCTCTAACCTGCCGAAAATGTTTGGGGCTCATATCATACGTTACATCCGGTTTTATAGTACACGTATGATGATAATTGCATTGACGGCAGATTGGCGATATCTCATCACCACGTTTGTTAATTCGACCAAACTGTAATACTGTAATACTTGCTGTTGCTGTAAAGGATAGATGAATAATAAGCCATGAACAATCTACGTATAATAAAATGAATGTATGTGCTACAAGAAGATACATCACATTGTCTTGTTTTAATCTGTTTATTTTATTTATTTATTTACAGCTGACATTCCTCTTCTTCTCATCCACATGTGAGAAAATCATAAATAATAGGAATTCTACGTTAAATAATTAACTGGAGAAGTTCTCTATTTGAATTATATAATTTAATTTTGATTTAGTAATTCAAATTAAATTCAAATTAAATTATGTATTGACTCGATTGAATTTTTTTTTCAGTGCAGGTGACAAGGGAAAGGATTTTCCGCTGAATGAATATTTTTGTTGTGAATTTTCCGTCACACGTTGCGTCAATTTTTTTGTTGCATTTTTTATCGTGCAATTGCAATGAGATTTTAAGACTTCTCGTCGTTGAAAATAGAGAATTCCAGGGAAAAATTAAATAGGACAAAAATTCGGGTGCAATCTGGGAATTAATTAGATGAGTTAATAATCATTTTAAAACATTTCAATTTTAATGAGTTTATTATTGATTAATTCATGGAAAGCTTAAAGTTTTATAGTAGTTTGTAGTAGTCAACGTGCATTAAAAAATATAAACACTCATTCAATAAAATACTTTAGTACAGTGGATTATCTCTTTTAAGGTACGTAGTGCACTAGTTTTCTCATTTCTCGAGTGGTTACGAGTTATTATGGATTTTTTTTTTTATATTCTTAATAAATCATCGTCACTGTCGGACTGACAGCAAGTGTCTGGAGTGTCTAGCAATAAATTTGTCTCTTCGACGCTATTCACCTGAAATCAATCATCACCGATGGAGTTCAATTGTTCAATTGACACAGGTAATTACACAGGATTTCTGGGTGGGGATGAAACAAATCACATCGAAATCGAATGTAACTGAATATATTGGTACAAAAACTTATGGATAATAAGCACCAGGCGTATTTTTTTTTTTCACAAAACAAAAATTCTATGGGTCTAAAGTCAGTGATACAACGAGAAAATAATAATCTACAACCAAAAATAATACTTCAGAGTCCAGCCTAGCTTTCGTTCACAACTCCTGAAAATAAAAGGAAACCAAAGAAACATTTAAGCATGTGCACACTGATTGAAGGCTCTGCGGATGAAAGACTCTCGTAAAAAAATTGCGAATTCATTCTGTTTTTTTATCGACTCTATTAATTCGTTTGATTTTCGCGATTCGATCCTTGAAAAATGAAAATAATAAAAAATTTAATCTTGAAATCAAATCGTATAATGTAGTATTTTTATAATTTATAAATTGAAATAATTCTGAGTGAAAAATACAAATAAATAAATGAAATGAATTCGCTAGATTTTTTGACGAAAATTTCTCATGCTTTGAATAAAAATGAAAAGGAGAAGGAGTGCATGTACAATTAGGGGATTGATATATCAGGAATAATTGTACCTGAGAATATGCCATACGAGCTGGGGTCCTACGAAGGAACATAGAGCTGCAGGAAGCATATAAATTCGATCTGCGAACGGGATTCGCAAGATAAATCCCACAAACAAGACCGAACGCAATCAAAATCACGAAAAATGCAATAAGTCCACCTAAAAATCAATATTCATTAAAAAACCTTTATATGCCAAAATTGATTATAATTAATTGCGTTCAATTATTATAATTATAAATCATTGCAATCAATGATTTAGTGATCACGATTAATTTCCGTTATATTCTCCCACATCTCACACAAAAACTACGAAATCCTTCGGAACAAATAATAAATAATAAATTTTTATTCTTTATTTAAAAATATTCTGAGCAGATATTTTCTATAGTATTCAGGATTGTTATTAATTGTGCCGAAAAAATGGAGATTCATCGGTTAATTACTGGAGTTCAATGATTTTTACCGTGTGAAGTACTCGCCGCAGCAGTTTTGCCTTCGTTTAATGAATCAGTCGTAATCGAGTGATTAGTCATGGACTTATTAACATTACTGATTTCGTTGGTTGTTTTTGGTGTTGGTTGCGGTGCCACCGTTGAAATTACTTTGGCCGTCGTTGGAGGAGAAGTTGAAGAGACTTCATTTGATTGGGGTGGATAATTCTGAAATATTAATTTCCATAACCCCGAGTCAATTAACACACAGGAAAATTTCCGCACCCCATTGAATTTCCATTTTTCAAATTTCAAAGATTTCTCAAATTTTCGGTAGTCTGAATTTTTGATAAGGGCAGAGCTACTTTAATCCATTATTTTATTGCGTCTGGTAAAAATCCTGATCCCCAGTCATATTATCAATGACTCATATCTGTGCACTATCAATGCTTCTAGTACACGAGGGAAATGTTATTTGATATGTGCGTCATTTCGAGGGCGTCGAAGAAAACACATTGCCCAAGTTATCGCCACTGGAATTATTTCCGAGATGAATAAAACTTGATTTATTTAAATACGACAAAAGATTAGAATAACTCTAACTGCAAAAATACTAGGAAATTCCTGTACGGCATACAATGTTTTTTAATCGATATCATTATGTGACAAATTTTAATAATTAATCAATTAATTATTGTAGTTTTAGCTCAGTAATAATAATAATATAATATTATCGTTCTTATTATTATTATTATATTATTATTCTGATTATTTTTTTTAGGGCATCCTGAACTCTTTTTCGAAAAGTCCCGTGAGACTAGTTATTTTATTCTGGGGATACTGTTAATTAATTGTTAAATGAACCCTGTCGACCCCTTATTTTGGAAAACCCTGAGGAGTCAACCAAGTGTGCTCGTGATAACATCAACATTTTTTCAGTTCATCCCCCTATTTTCTTTCTGTTCTCTCTATTTAGGAAGAAGGAAATCGGCGGACTGAAAATAGTGAAGGGATGTGAGGAGTTTTGTTGAGACTAGAGTCAGAGATAAACAGATGTTGCATGTACAAGATTTAGTACTGATCTCATTAAAGATATCTTTCCTTCCAAATATAACCGCGTCCCTCGGACCCCACGAAATCATTCATTCGAATATGATATATTATCTCATGGGAATACCCTCGCACGATAAACCGAGGGAAAAATCCGGGATCGATTATTTTTAATTCAATTATTCACACTTTTCTTCGTGGAGTAAAATTCATTAATAATCATGGGTATTTATGGAACTATTGGATATTCATATAGACTATTGTATTTTCATATTTGTTTATCTTATCAGGTAGGAGAAATCCCAGTCTCTTTCGGTCCTGGAAATTTATTTATTTAGGAGAAATTTTTTGACCGAGGGTACCATATTTTACGACCCCTTGGGTAAGGGAAATATATATAGAGTGCACTATTGACTCCATTGAGTTTTACAACCAGTCGAAAATCTGGGCAACTAGCACGTGTTGGCCACGGGTCAAATTTTCCCATCAAATTTTCCCAGGAGTGGACACCGCAATTCCACTCCATGTGGACAACAGATTTTCCAGATGAGGTGCAGCGCAATGGAAACGCAAATCCCTCCTATTATATCTGGTAGTTCCGAGGAGAAAGGTCTTCCTTATAAAAGAGATAATGATAATCCTTTGGGAGCCATGTGACACTGGTCCAGACACTTGGGGCTTCCAGAGAAGTCTGGCAGGAAGTGAAATCTCAAAACTCCATGATATACACCATATACTCGTACTAAAATTAACTGTTTATTCATTATTCAAGGGAATCACCGTTTTTTAAACATCTTGGCTCGTCTCTTTTTTTTGTATAATACGAAAACAAAATGGAGAGTTGTTGATACATTTATGAGCTATTTATCTCGGTTTTTCCTCTTGCTTGTCTCACTTCTTTTAATTATGTAATTAAAAACGTTTTGCATCATCAATTAATTATTTATATTAATGAATTCATATAATTGACTAATTTGTAATAACGAATAATTTGGACATCTGGGGGAAAATAAAAAAATATAAAATATAAAAATATAAAAAATATCAAATAGAACTCAAATAATTTGTATTATTGTTTTTAATTATTATTCTTGAATTGAATGAGATTATTATCGATTCAATAAATAAATTGTTAATTGTCCTCATTTTTAATGCTATTTCGATTTTTTTGGCGGGAGATTCGATCCTCTACCGTTTAAACAATTTCCCCCTCTTGGTTTCAATGGAGAGGTTTACGAGAGGAGTGGGAAATTGTCATGTAGCAAAGGCCAACACTTCTCGGGTCAGTTCCAGTCTGTGTGAGCACGTCAGTGAGGACATCGATATTATCCACTAGTGAAAAACATGTTAATATTTTCAAAGTGCCTTTCGATAATTCGTATGATGTACCAATGAACACCACTGAATAGTTTACCAAATAATTTTATAAACAAATTCCATTAATTTAAGTAAATATCCTGAGTATCCAGTTGTTTAATTTCTAGGAGGAGTTTTTGCAGTGATTGCACGAGTTGGTGAGTAACCAGTTGTATAATTATTTTTTATCTGTGTGTGAAAATTTATTTTCATCGGATACTCGTGTCATCGTTAAAAAGCCAGCACATGTTTGAATTATTATCGATAATTAATTATTGGGAGAATATTCAGTGGCTAGAGTGGAAACCTACAATGCTGTTTCCGCAGATTACTGGAGACTCTAAATAATAAACTTACCGCAGTGTTATCACCGGTCATGACATCATTCTTTTTACTGTAGTTATCGGGATAATGCTGGATGCAAAAATAATCATTTTAATGGGATTTTTTTACCACGGAGAATGCAAATTATTACACGTGCTAGTTGTTAATCTCGAGTCTTCAACTGGCGATTTTTTTTAAGGATAAGAATGTTGGAAAAATTAATGGCAATGTATCATGCGTTTGAAAAAAAATCTTTCAATTCAATTTATTTGAATGTTTTTAATAATTTATAAAAAACGATAGATTTTGATTTTTTTTTATTGAATGAATATTCAGAGAAGTATTTTTAATGGAATTTCAATCATTTTCTGATTTGGTTTTCATGTTGGATTTTTATGATTCCACAAATGTCCTGTCCCATTTCAAATATTCCTTGAAACGAATTGTACACGATTACTCAATCTTCTAGGCAATTTATTCCGAGTAATTAACTAAAAAATGCACTCGATAATTAAACATTCGCAGGGAAAATTTCTCATGCTCAAGTACCTGTTTAGTACTCGATACTGAGAAGTCCGTGGAATTGCTCAGTCTTCGGAGTAATTTACGGTAATTAACTGAAGAATCTACTCGACAAATAAACGCGTCGAAAAGAGAAAAATACTAGATATTCTATGAACTATGACACCCACGGACAAATAATTTATTTCCATCGGATGATAAACCTTGATTATCCCATTATCTCCGTGACCTGATCAGGATAATCCCCGGGTTCTCAATTATTTTTAAAAATTAAACAAATTTTCGACAATTAACGAGAAAAATCGAGGAATATCACAAGGAAAATACAGTGAGACATAAAATATATTCATGCTGGAGGAAAGTTGTTGGATGGACGGTTGTCCTTGGGCTATTAACGCGGAATATCGCGGTATGAGACACTCACACATGAATCTCTGATTGTCCAGTTGTTACGTGGAATACTAAATATCCACCAGACGGACAGATTCTGTAGTGTTTACCCAGAATTTCAGGTTTTCATAATTGTTTTGAATATATCGGTAGAAATCCCTCGAGATAATCACGGAAATCCCAGAGGATTCGCCCATTGATCACGCATTGATCACTCATTAATTATAATATTAATTACTCTCAAATTCACGCATGTAAGAAAATTAAGTGAAGAAAGCCTGCCCCTTAGAAAAAATTCCAATGAATTTATGTTGAACTTTATAAAAGGTTTATTAGTCGATTTAATGGAATTTTTACTGGCAGATTATTTTTTTCTATCAATCCTGTAAAAAATGTTTGTGAAGAATTTCGGATTTTCATAATTAATTGGAGTCTGCGATAATCAGGGAAATTCCGGAGGATTTAATCATTCATCTGAGGGGAAAACCCATTATTGGGGAAAGCTAATAGCATGACTCTCATTGCATAAATCTCATGATTGACATCTAGCCGTTCGATTGTCCGTAAAAATACGAGATAACGCGGGATAATTTTATTCGATTTTTTATTAAAAAATTCCATTTGATTTTTCAACGAAAATCCTTTCCACATTTATTCATTCTTCATAATAAAATCGAATAAAAGAAAAATCTTATTCTAACGGTCAAAATCACCCGGAAGAAAAATCCCAGCGGAATAAATTGCAGAAATTAAAATCTATTCAATCCTAGGAGAAGATTTTCCACAATTTCGAATAGAATTGATGTGAAAATGAAATAGAATTTAAATAGAATCCATACAAAAAGCGCAAGATTTTCCAAACATTTCAATACGCTCCATCGACAGAAGTGAAACTCCGAAGTAACAAAACAGCCGATAAATACCCGAACAAAGGGATATATCATACACGAGAAAGAATAAATGTCCTGGTTCCGTAGAATTCCCATCTTATCGAAGTGATCGTTATTTCCCTGACATACACACCCTGAATGAAACCATTTGCCTTGACGGACAGGTATACCCTACATACAAACCGATCTCAATAGAGCTGAGCCCCTATCGGGCTAATCTCTTTTTCAAATAGATTCAATGAACCATCTCCCTAAGTGAGTTCCAAAATTGATTTTTATCCTGCCACAGGGAGAAGCGAAAAGTGAGAAAGACGAAGCGATTCTGAACCTTGAAACCCCCATCTGTTTCATCTCTTCCGGTTTCCCTTAATCCCCCCCTTTTTTTCTCTCATTCATTCAAAGAATAAATAGCAACAGCTTTCAGCTGATCCTTTCGTCATCCAACTGATTTATTTTTCTCTCGATTGCAGCTGACAACAATAATTTGGAGGGAACTGTCATCATGCTCGTACAATTGTCGCTCGTACTTATTGTCATCGCCATACCCCCCAGCTCTGCCGATCAATGTCCTCTGGGCAGAGGCTGCGGTGGTTGTGATCATCTTCCAGAGAATCAGTACGAGATTCGGTGCTCAACGAATTCATCGGACTCAATGTTCATCGTTAATTACAGACCCAACATTTGGGTGAAGATTGATTGTTACAATTCACCGAATTGGTCGGAATTTTATCTCGGGAGAGAAGGACAGATTCGAGATGTTGACGTTATTTCATTCAGAATGTGCCAATTGCCTGGGAATGAGAAACTGGGTGCCATCGTTAGACAGATTATTGCGAATGATGTCAAAGAGCTGAGTCTGCAGTTGAGTGACAATTTGTCGTCGACCCTCACCAGGAAGACACTGTCGGATTTCAGGAGCCTCGAGACACTCGTTCTTTCGAGGAATAAATTGACGAATGTCACCGCTGATTTACTGCATGATCTGCAGAATCTAACTCTTCTTAATCTGCGGGAGAATGATCTCCGTGAGCTGCCTCATGGCTTCCTGGACATACCTCATCTGGAGTCCATTGAGCTGGGGAGCAATAAACTGGAGATTATCGAACCCGCGATATTTCAAAATTTGGAGAAGCTCAAGCTCTTGAATATATGGAGTAATAAACTCGTCGAGATAAAACCGCATAGTTTTGATAAACTTAAATCGATTAGATCCATCGATATGCACTCCAACAATCTGCAAACACTTCCTCGAGATATTTTTGCACCTTTGAAGAATCTTATCGTTGTCAATCTATCGCAGAATAATTTCACCGCCAATTCTCTACCTGAGGGGCTGTTTTCGAACAACAGTCTTCTTCGAAATGTTATTTTTTTCGAGAATAAACAAAATCTCACGACTCTTCCCTCAAAATTCTTCGCTGGTCTCACGCATCTCACGAGTATCACTATGCGAAGGAATAGATTGGTGTACCTCCCAGAGGATTTGCTCACTGGAACTGTGAATTTGAGGAATATCAGTATGGAGTGGAATTATATCGAGAGCCTTCCACGGGGTATTTTTAAAGATTGTAAGGATCTGTTCTCGATTAATCTCAGTTATAACGAGCTCAGGGAACTACCGATTGGATTATTCTCGACACTTCACAACCTGGAGAAGCTGGATTTATCGAGAAATCATATAACAGAGATCAGTGGGAATTTATTTCACGGCCTATCGTCACTCAAAGTCCTCAATCTTGAGCGAAATGGATTGAAAACAATTCATCCAGATGGTCTTCGTCCTCTCCAGAATCTCCGGATCGCCAGATTTTCCTCGAATCTATTGACTTTAAAATCGAATCCCAGCCCATCCATCGAGGGTGATCGCTTGACATCTCCGTTCTACCCTTGCACGAGAATCGAGGAGCTACATCTGGCAAACAACAATATCTCTGATATCTTCTTCGATTGGGCGACAGCTCCACAGCTCAGAACCCTGGATCTTCAATACAATAGCCTGAGATTCCTCCACGCTCAAGATGTGTTCTTCTTATCAGAAAATCTCTACGTAGACCTATCATTCAACCGCATAGAGCTGATATCATTGACCTACGCCGAGGCATTTGCAACCCCCCGAGAATACCCGAAGAAGGTAATTGTATCAGTCGAAAATAATCCCATCAACTGCGACTGCGATATCTACGATCTTCTGCGATATCGAGAAGGTGATATGGATCCTAAAGTTCAGAACAACGTTCACTTGAAGATGGAGAAGCTGAAATGCCAGAAGCCGAGTGGACTGCTGAACCTCTCAGTCGAGAACTTGAAATCCAAGTCCCTGAAATGTCTAGTAGAAAACCCAGAGATCTACAACGCAACCTGTCCGGGAAAGTGTGAGTGCTGGTTACAGCCGAGCAAGCGAGCGTATTTAATCGACTGCTCCTACCAAGGCCTGACGGTTGCTCCTCAATCTCTGAAGGCCCCTGGGGGTCTCACAATCGAGCTGAACCTAAATGGCAATTTTCTGAAAAAAATGCCATCGATGAGACAACCTGGATACGAAGCAGTCACTGCTCTGTCTCTCTCGAAAAACGAGATAATGGAATTATCCCAGTCTAGTCTTTCAAAAAACCTACGGGTTCTGACTCTGGACTCAAATAATCTCACGAGACTGGATAAACCTGTCCTCGAGTTTCTCGTCAACTCCTCAGCGCTGAGAAATCTCAGCCTCCAGGGGAATCCCTGGGAATGCGACTGCGATGCGAGGGAATTCCTGAGTTTTATACAATCGAAGAAAAACGACATCCCTGAGCTGCAGGAGGTGAAGTGCAAATACCCAGGAGAAAATTCTATCTTTGAAATGACACCTGAAGATATGTGTCCACTAGCTGTTGCTGGAATAATCGGTGTTTGCATTGGAATAGCTCTGCTTGGAGTGATTGTTGGGATAATTGCTGCTTTGTATTATCGATTTCAACGTGAGATCAAAGTGTGGCTTTATTCTAAGCAGTGGTGCTTGTGGTTTGTCACTGAAGCTGAGCTGGATAAGGATAAATTGTACGACGCATTCATCAGTTATTCCCACAAGGACGAGGAATTCGTCGTGAAGAATTTGATAACCAAGTTGGAGGAGGGACCAAGGCCTTTCAAATTGTGCGTTCATTTTCGTGATTGGCTCGCTGGTGAGTGGATTCCAAATCAGATAGCTCGCTCTGTTCAAGACTCCAGACGTACTATTGTCGTTTTATCACCAAATTTTTTGGAAAGTGTATGGGGAAAAATGGAGTTCAGAACTGCTCACAATCAGGCACTGAGTGAGGGACGAGCTAGAGTTATTGTCATTCTTTATGGGGAGATTGGACCTGTTGATGATCTTGATCCCGAGCTCAAGGCTTATTTGACGATGAATACTTATGTCAAGTGGGGTGATCCCTGGTTCTGGCAGAAATTGAAATATGCTTTACCTCATCCTGATGATCTCGTTAGGAATAAGAAACGGCAATCTGTCTTTGAGAGTCAGCATCCTACCATCGTTATTGCTAATGATAAGAGCGAATTGATTGACGGGGGGAAGGAGAATTTGGGAACGACTGCTGCGTCTACACCACCTGCTGATACCATTAAGACTTTTGTCGGTGGTGGGAATGAGGCGAGCAAAAATGCTATTAATGACTGCTTGAGTGAACAGGCTAAGGGTAATGGTGCGCCAATTTGTGATTCGGTGAAGATAAATGGAAAAATTGAGAAGCTACACTGCACGACGGTTTGAGTCAGTAGAGAAATGGTCGAGTGGTATTCTATTTTGGTTTTTATGAATCGCGATTGATCTCCAAAATTATTCATATGAATTCATGAATTTATAGAACACCATGGGCGTTTTTTTTTTATAAAAATTTGGGAGAATCAATATTGAATTCAATTGATTTATCTCAACTAATTGACGCCTGATTTGATTGGAAGAACAATAATTGCATATTTAACCGCGAGTTATGCATGAAAAATATTGTAAATAGAAATCAATGGTTTACCATTTTTTAATCTGGTGGAACCGAGGAATTTCTCGTGAGAGCTTTTTCGAGAGGATGAAAATTGCCGAATAATATAATGCTCTCACGATTTGAATTCGTCGTTCCACCAAAGAAATTCGGAATCTCTGTTTTGGTTGAGTGTATCTATACGTGAGTTATAATTCTCAGGACGTAGCGTAAGGGTCTTTTTTAATTGTGAGAATTGCACTACAATAGAATCCCGTTATAGTCACACATCTCAATTTCTTTTTTCGCGCATCCTTCGGTTCCCCCAACAATCCATTGGTTCGTCCGGTGAGGAATTGAATTCCGGGAAAAATAAAGCCGAAAGATAAATTCCCCTCGTTTCCGAATTTGAGATGGAAACATTCAGTTTACGGGAGTCTACTGTATTTGTTTGTAGCGTGAGAATGTTGTATAATATTATATATTGCAAGACTGACGTGGTCACCGGACGATAGTAGCGTTAATGGATGCCAATTACCCTCGGTAACCGTAACCACTTACGTACCGAGTGAATAATTAATGTAAGCAAATAAAAAGGCTTTCTCTAAAAATTCCGTTGCTCGTCTATTAAAACTCTAGAAATCGAGAAATTTTACTGACCACTCACGATGATTCGCGAGAATTCTAACGGAATTCCAAAAGAATTTTTGAAGAATTTCACTCGAAATTCAATGGAATTTTCAGAGAAAGTGAGGATTTTTAAGTACGTGTTACCTTGCTGGTCCCAGCCACGAGTATTTTAACTTATTTTAATGTAATTTTGTACAATGCGTTTAGAACGAATAAAGATTTGAATAATTTGAAAAAATAAATTGACTCACCATTGGTGCACACACGAGGGGAGTAGGCCACTGAATTTTCAAGGAGCACAATTCCTCAGTTATCGTGATCTTCGAAGGGTCCGTCTCTTTTTCTTTTGAACAGGTGAATTGAATAATGGAATAACGTCGATTTCCATTTTCACATACTGAACCGTTTGTGTAATTGAGATATGGTCCTGCTGGGGACCACAGGAGTTGAGAATTGGATAGACCGAACGTAGTGAGATTGGACGATCGACAAACCCCTAGAATAAAAAATGAGTTCATTGGAATATGGCACAAATGAATACTTCAAACATTTCTCCAAATATCCGTAACTCGAGAAGAAAAGAAAATTCATCAAAAATTGAATTCCAGAATATTTTCATACTGATGTATTATCTATTTTATGTAAATATTATTTATAAACATATTTAAAGTACAAAAGATATTAGAATCTATTATTATTAATTAATTAATGATTTTACCTGCATTATCTTCACAAGCTTTACTCGTCAGAGGCCGACAAACACTTAATTTAAAGGATTCATTGGAACTTTTGACAATGATCTCTTTACGTTTGAGGTCTTCCAGGTCGTACCTGAAATAAAATTACAAGATTAGAGTGCCTTAAAAAAAATGAGGAGTAAAACAAAATGAAAGTAGAATTCAATTACTCAAAGTTAGTGATTGGATCACGGATTTTGCAAGGGTTGGCTGTTTTCCGACTGTATTCCTCAAGTTGTTTATCACTACAGGCTGCAGCAGTCTTCCAGAGGAGTTTGTAATGACAGCCACTGGAGTCCGTCAGAACTGGAAAGGTATTCTGGACACAGAAAAATCCGTCACACGAAATTCATTGGAAAAGAAAAGAAAGAAACTTACCTGTGATTTAAAATCACATATGAGGTAAATTGTAGCCTCCGAATGGTCTGCACTACCGTCATCACATATTTTTCCTTCGTTATAGTGTAGTGCTATCGTGCCATTGATCAATTGCGGCGGCTGTACATCTCCCAGATTTGAATAACTGAATATTCAAAGGTTTTTCAATGAAACTTGTTATACTGGAGATTTTCCTCTTATTATCGCATTAAGGAAGACGGATTCGACAAACAATATTTAATCCAGATAATTATTGTGGTACCTCATGATAGATGTGCTTTCGTTCCTCAGGCAGATCCCCGAATTGGATGGACACACAGCCCCGTATCCAGGTATCACCGAGTGGCATACGTTAAGAATAATCGAGGTGATATTAGTTGTACCCTTTATCACATAGTTATTCACTTGGCTTTGCAGAGGGCTCAGATCAACGACATCTCCATCAGCATTTTTTATTTTACAATCCACCGACTTTGGAGGCGATCCACAGGCCAATTTTGTTTTCCACGAGATGAAGAGGTCACACTGGCCTTTTGTCTACAAATATAAACACAGTTGTTGTTGTGATGATCAAAAATTCCTGATTTGAATAGAATAAAAAACAGGGGAACCCCAGTTTATTTAATTATTGAAAGTGTCTCTTTTCAAATTGATGGCTCGATTGATATTTTAAGTACTTACGTAAGGAAAAAGAAAAGGTTTATTATCAGTTTCCGAGAAGTCACAGTGGGTGATAACACTGAGAGTATATGGTCTATCCTTGAGGCACGTATCGCCACTAAATCGAAAAATGATGCTACCATTTTCAGTAATGCGTTGGGGTGGGTATGCACCTGAAAAACGAATAGCGAATGTAGAAATAATTGCTGAATTAAATCGATAACAGATTAGATATCAAATTCCATTTTAAAATTAATTTTTACTAATTATTAAAATTAATTTCTACTAAAAGGACGAGAACGATTCCCAGGCGTCGAAGAACTCAATAAAATTTTCTTCCAGAACGCCTAAATTTCTCTCAATCGCTCCCACACACTCTTAATAAATCTGAATAAATAAATTGCTCTTTTTACGATCAATAAAACAAATACCTATCGAAATGTGCTCTTTTCCATTTTCCAAACAAGCAGCAGAGGTACCTCCATTGCAATCGTCATGAAGCTCATGACAAAGTTGAAACTTCAGCGTCTCATTCGTTATATCATTTCTAAGAACATAATCTGTCGTGGGAATTATGAGCGACGTGAAATTGAATGACACATCAGTCAATGGCTGTCGAAATTCGCATGGTGTTTGCACTGGCTAAAAATATAACCACATTGAAAAAAGTTCCACCCAACAACCTGAAAATAATCTTAAAAATCTCCCCTCAATCGAGCAATCATACGCCATAAATAATCTGCAGGAAAAATGCGTCGCAATAATTCAACATCAAAGTCATACTAAAAATCGATAAAGCCAAAACAAAAAGCTCCAATAATTACCAGACATTCCCCAATTGTCACAAGACACGAGAGCCAAGCAGCTACAACTAATAGTCGATGCATTTCAATTCGAGATGATTTGCAGAATCTAGGAACTAGATGTATAAACAATTGAATGAATCTCGTTACACATTACTGAGAAACCGGCTTATCGCAATGAGAATTCCGTTACGACTGTACCTTGCACCAGTGCTGACCACAAACTCAGTGGTGTGAGGTTGGTTAGGGTAACGTCATATGCACCAATGAAATCCTTTGAATTTGCCGCTAAAAAATCTGGCAATGCAGCTGAGGTATGAGCAATGTTGCCAGGTTCATAAAAAAAGGGAAGCGTCACTTCCGAACTTCGCCATTACTAAGATGCTAACCAGTCGCCATTTTCCCGAATCTTGATCGACTTCTTCCTGCATATCCACCCGTTTCTTGTCACTCATAATCCAGTTTTTACCCCGTTTTTACAATTTCCCATTGCATCGCCAGTGAATTTTCAGTTCGAGAATCAACGGTAAGTGAAAGAATTACGTTTTTACTCATAGTTTCGAAAATTCGCTTGAATTGTCGGAGGGAGAATTGATTTTTATGGTTAGCGTCCACTGGAAAATTCAATGCGTTGCAGATTGGTTGAGATTTTATGTCGGGATCTATTCTTTTGTTTATTTATAATTAATTATAAGGGAATTTGAGAGATTGAGGGATTCGGGAGGTCTGAATTTTCAAGATTCTCTGGGAATTTTTTGAATTTTATATTTCATCGTTGGGGAGAGAAGAATAAGTGAGTTGAATATGAAATTTTCATTAATTATTGATTTATGTTGATGAGGATGGGTTTAGGTAGAAAAAAGGGCTTCTGATTTTTTTTATTGATAATCAATCGTTTTTTGGATAAATCGATTGTTAATAGAGAGTGGAAATTCGATTTATCTAGATTTACTGCTTCGTTACTGTAATTTTTAATCGGCGAAATCAGGTTTTGTGCGATATCTCGGAATCTCGTTTCGATCTCTCGTCCTTCTGGTTTGATGTACTCCAACAGCAGATAGGGAAAGGGTAACAACTCCACTGAGAAATTGAATTAATCATAGCCCCAATATAGTCCCCATATAATTTTCCCAAAAAGTCAATAAATTGCAAAAAACAACTTTTCCTTAGTGATAGTGGTAGTATTTATTAATGAGAGACCTTTTTTTATTTGCAGGAATAATATTTAAGATGTCGAATGGTAGCGGTGAGCACGACGATGAGGGGTGCGTGGTGAAACTGCGGGGGTTGCCCTGGTCAACAACCGTTGATGAGATTCTCAAGTTCTTCAGCGACTGTCGGATATGTCATGGGAAAGCTGGCATTCACATGACTATGTCTCGTGAGGGAAGACCCAGTGGAGAGGCTTACATCGAAATGGAGAGCGAGGAGGACATCGAGAAGGCGTGCAAAAGAGACAGGGATCACATGGGCCATCGTTATATCGAAGGTGATTAGCAATTTAATCCATTATAATGAAATTCATAAATAGAAGATCTGAATTTGAGAGGAAAATTGATTTTCCCCCCTGTACAGACTGAAAGATGAAGACCGGTGTAATAACTTTTTTTTTATTATTCAGTTTTTAAGGCAAAAAGAGGCGAAATGGAGTGGGTTGTGAAGAGGAGTGGACTAAATCTGGAGAACGTCATGGATGATGGCTGCGTCAGGCTGCGAGGCTTGCCCTTCGGTTGTTCAAAAGAAGAAATAGCGCAGTTCTTCTCAGGTATGAAGAGCGTTCTGCATTCTCTAGATTTTCATTTTGGTTTCATTATTTCTTTCTCCTATGCAGCCTCCGCACCAATTGAATCCAAAAAAGTGGGGCCACCAAATTATCCGAATGAATTTGATACGTCTTAACCTTCCAGAAGTTTTTATCCCCATAAAAAGAAACAATTGATTAGTGAAATGATAAACTCAGATTACTTGAATCGGACATTCTTCTTAATTTATCTAAAAAAAAATCGATAGATTTCACGATAAATGGATAATCGAGAAAATGTTAAATTCCACTCATCTCACTTTATCACTTCTCTGGTCAATTTCTTCAATATATTTTTCTCATTCACGAGTCATAAACAGTATTAAATACTCGTTCCATCGTAAGACGACTGTCCATTACCCCACAAGCTAAAATTCCTGATTGCAGTATTTTTCAGACTGTTAGAATACGTACACCTGATTATTCTCTATATATTTTTCATATAAATTAACTATAATCAATGCGTTGAAATTGCTCTTTATGAGAGCAACAATTCGTAAGCATTAAAAAAAATGAAGGCAATGCAAATGGTGATTTATGGTGTGAGTGCCAGGATGGGCTGTCTTATTTTAATAAAAATTCCTTGCAGCTGTCATGTTTTCTTAATGGGTAACTATTTCGCTACAATATGGATGTTTGATTATGTGTGGGTCAGGGTTGGAGATATTGCCGAACGGGATTTCACTACCAACAGACTTCACGGGCCGCAGTACTGGGGAGGCTTACGTTCAATTTGTTAACAAAGATGTCGCGGAGCGCGCTCTACAGAAACACAAGGAAAAGATAGGACACAGGTGGGGCACTGATGCTAGAATGGGTTTGGGTATTATTTATTATGATTTATCAAAATGAAAAAAAAAACAGAAAGATAATTTTTTCATTTTATTTTTCCTCGAGCGTCATATTCTGGTGCAGGTAGGCATTTGAATTATTGCTGTCTTGTAACAGTGGGTTTTTCAACTGCTAGTCAAATTCAATTTGGTACTTATTTACTCAAGTTTTCCATTGGATTTTTTCAAACATTGGAATATTAGAGGTGTGAATATTCGATATTTCGAGTTATTCCTGGCGAATTTCATTTTATTGCAATTCTGTTCGAATTTTTTTTTATATAAAAATTATCATCATCTTGGATAGATTTTATTATGAGAAGTAGAAATTCCTGCAGAAAATTAACCACTAGTCTTAGATACAGTTCTAGGATTTTCTGATAATTTTCTTCATGCGTTATCTACATAATGATCGTTACAGTCTGTTATGTAAAAACGCTGGAATGAAAGATAAAACCACATATTCAGATATGGAAATAGAAAAATGACGAATAATTCGAAATGTTTATTAACTATTCGATTCGAATTTCGAATTGAACTGCTTGATTTAATTAAATTCGATTCGAAGACTTCACACCCCGAGTATCCAAGAGATTAAAATAATTGATAAAAACGTCAAGTGGACATTTGTAAGTTATAAGAATATAGAGAAAAGAAAAAGTACTGTTGGCCCGACTTGATATCTCTGGGTGGGTGCCGGGCGGGAGCTACCCCCTTACATCGTCACCAAATCCCATGGGAGGCGGGTTGGGCTAGTCGGATACAAATTCTCTTCATGGATTTGGGTGGGCACTGCAGAGCTAGTAAGCCACCATAATATCCAATATTTATTTGTGAAAATGTGAAAAACAGAAGACGAGTTATGTGGTTATTTTTTTTAATGAGAATAGAGTTCTTGTATTTCTCAATGAATGAACGTTCAAGGGAAATAATCGCCTTGTTGAATTAATGAGTTATTTACTGAGTCAGATTGAAATTTCAGAACTTCGCTATTTTCATGATTTCGTCTGTTTAGTTGAATGATCATTTTTCGTTTTGAGACTGGGAGTAGAAAAAAAAACATTGAAAAATGAAGAAATTGCGACGTGAATTGTCAATCAAGAAGTACCAGAAATTTCAGAAATACGATTTGACAAATTTTTTCATTTCAAAGAAACAGGATAAAGCGAGTGGAGAGTGAAATAAAGAGGATAAAAAATGAATAATCAAAAATACGAGGTGGGACAAATGTGGAAACTGCCATTTTGTTTGCATTCTCATGGCAAAATGTTTTGAAGATGACGGCACGTCCACCTCGTGCTTTTGAATAATTATCAAAATTATTTACAATCGTCTGATCGTCCTCAATTAATTCAATCCTGTTCCTGAGAACTGAACAATTTTTTACAGTCATCTTACAGATATTTCCATTCTCTTTTGGCTGAGAATTCATAGATTAAATTTTTTTCGTATTTCGAGTGGTTTTTATCTCGAAGTCTCGTAATATCAAAAGCAAAATAAACGACGAGGTTTTATACGTAAAAATGACAACTACGTAGTGGTAGGGATAGAAAATAATCCTGATTAATGTCAACAGATACATTGAAATATTCCGGAGCAGTTTGTCCGAGGTACGTGCTAGCATCGGTCCAAAGATGCGGGGCGGTCCCATGAGCGGGGGATATAATCAGAGACCTGCACCTTATGATCAGAGAGATCGTTTCGGTGGCATGAATCGATTCAATAATAATGGCAGGAATGCGAGAAATCGAGGAGGTATGTTTTTTATTATTTAATATTTTCTCAGTGACATTCACCATATAATTACTGTTCATTAATACTATAATATGAATAGAATTAATATCATTTCTGTATTTTTTCATTAATTAATCAATTCGCCAATGTCTAAAAATTCAAGGATTTTTTTTATTGGGTAAAATAGGGAAAGCACATACATTTTCTTTTGTCGAAAGTTTTTTTTTGCACAATTTGAAGTGAAGAATTATTTATTTTCCTGTCTGTCTGATCATTTATGAGATATTTTTTTCATTCAGAATTTGATGGCTGGGGAGGTTCCAATAATTACGGATCCCGAGGAGCTGGTGGTATGGGAATGAGAGGAGGAATGGAGATGAAAGGATCTAATTATCGTACTGGAGGTGGTGGTGGAGGTGGAGGCGGTGGTGGTAACGTTGGTGGCGGTGTTGGTGGTGGTGATAACTGGAGTGGAAGCTCTGGGGTTCACTGTATACACATGCGCGGTCTCCCCTTCAGAGCAACTGAACAGGATATTGCAGAGGTAAATTTCACTAGAAGAATATGATATTTTCGAATTACAATTTCATTTTTGGTGTATCTTGTACATTCGTGAATGAATATTTGATATTCCCCTGACAACGCTGATTCGTTAGACACTTCCCCATACAATTGGTATTTACGATTGTTTTCAGTTTTTCAGACCTGTCGTTCCTGTGAATATCAGAATTATCCTGGAGAATAATGGACGAGCATCAGGAGAGGCTGATGTTGAATTCGCTACTCATGAAGAGGCTGTCAAAGCCATGTCTAAGGTTTGTAATTTTAATCATCCAGTTAAATTCTAAAGTTGCACAAATCTCTGTCGAAATTTCGGATAAATCACGATAATTGACATAGTTATTAAAATAATTGTTTTAATTCATTAGATTTGTGTAAATTTAATTTCAGGACAAGAGTCACATGTCCCACAGATATATTGAACTATTCCTGAACTCAGCGGGGGCAGCTGGTGGTGGTGGTGCTGGTGGTGGCATGTCCCTGGGAGGAATTGGAAACTTCTGCGGTGGACTAGCCAACAATTTCAGACCGGGATACTCTCCCAATAATCGAGGCTATAACAGCCAACTGGGCGGTAACAATTACAATAGCTTTTGAAACAGAAGCCAATCCCTTCACCAAGATCGTCGTTGAATTAATTGGCAATGGATTCAATTTAATGTTGCTATTCAAGGTAAAAAAAAATCATGAAATAGAACAAGGGCACTGATAACTCTCCACAATTAACATTGAGTGCATTAAATATTAGATAATTAAGGATAATGTATTTCTCGTCATAAATGAAAAAAAAAATGAGTGACAACATTACGTCCACGTATGCTCGACGTGAGCATAATATTTTCTATTGCGAGAGAAATATATGAACTTTCTTCGTCTTTTTTTCAAAATGACAGATGGAAATAAAGTAATTTTGTAGTTGAAACACAGGTTACTGGCTTGAGTGATTTGATGCTGAGTAGTTTGTCTTTTATGATTAGCAACATTTGTATTGGAATATTCTCAGGCTTGCAAAGTTATTAAATTTTAATGATGTACACTCCCTCGTACGTTGCAGACTCAAGACTAGGATGTATCTGCTGATATATTGATGCAAATTCAAAATAATTAATGTCAACTACAATATTCTGGGATTGTTTAGGACTGGTGGAAATATTGAGGTTATTGTATGATCGATGAGTGAATTATTTTCCCACAGTTGTTTCGCATTGAGTGCCAATCTGTGTAATTGATTAAGTATTTGCAGAATTTATTGATGAGTCTATTGATTTTTCTCGTTCATTGATGCTTCGGAATCTGTTGAGAAGCTGTACATTTCACTTTTGATAAAATTCAAGAGAAATTCCTTGTCCTTCCTTTAAAGCACTCTTGAATTTCTCATAAATTCGGTGAGGAGAAGTCAATAGATTTTTCAATAAAAATCATTTATAAAATCTGCACTCAGTAAATTTAAGAGATAACATCTTGGGAGATTCATTTAAACAGAAAAATTACAATTCGTTGACTTTTTCTTATCGAAAAATTAATAGAATTCTAACGAGAATTCTGTAGAATTTCAATAGAATCCCAATAAGAATTTTATCACTAAGTTTTTCTAGAGATTTCTTCTCACATGCGTTCTCATTTAAATCTGTGAACATTATGTTCAGCTTCTTCGAGTTTCTTTTACTAGTTTTCAAAATATTGATAATTGAAGGGGAGTTGCTCTACTCCGATCTACTGCATTTTACATATGAATCAGAAGGTGACACATTTGTTGGCAGACTAGTCGATTTTTGAGGATAAAACAACAAAGACCTGTACACGACAAAAAAATTTCCTGTCAATTGTAATTTTCATGATAAAACAAGGAACGTGATAATAAAGTAACTACAAACTGTACAAACTGAATTTATTAATAATCGTAATAATATTCCCTACAAAAATTACCGCGCATTTTTTTCCCATTGAAAACCCCGAGTGAATTAAATGAATAATTAATGTTCTAATGTATAAACAATCATTCGTTGTGCATAAAAATGTCGATAAAACAGCTCATCCCCTCCTTCACGAGTCAATTGCGTTTTTACAATTTTCCGATTAAATTTACGTGTGAAAATTACACAAAAAAATTTATAACACAATCATCAGGGAAATTCTGAATTCCATAAGCAGAAAAATGGGGTAAGATTTCCTCTGAACCCGATATATGACCGGTTTGACGTGAACCCAAACAAAGGAGTATAATTATCAAGTACTAACACAGCATCCGCAAGAGAAAATGAATAAACAGTCCAAGTAGATAAACCGCGAACAAATGAGATGAGTAATCCAGCATTGAAGACCGTAATTCAAAGGCAATTGAAACACGTTTGACAGCAGTAATCGCAGAGCAGCTGACTCGTCTCGCGAATCCCCATAATTCTATTCAATAATAAAAGCCATAATTTATCAATTAACCAGTGATTGATAACACTTGGATATCAAAGCGATGTATATACCTCAAATTGATAAGAAACATTAGTCGAAAACAAGTACAAGTACAATAGTCTACATCACCTCTCCCTAATTGTGAAACGGTCTCTTTGAACCGCCGAGTGATAAGACAGCAATTGAAGAGTATTTACCCTATCATCATTGTCAGTATCGCGTCACCTGCTGCGCCGTCTCCATCGTGTGCTTTTTAAAAATTTTAAATTTCACGCGGGACACATGTGAGTGCAAATATTAATCACCCAATTGCCGTGCTACAGTGGCCGATAAAGACTCAAGTGATTTCGCGATGAATCATCTCTCTGAAAGGAAAGTCTGAATTATCAGAGACGGTGCAATTGAATCCGATTGAAGGGGCAAACGAGACGAATTGTAAATGGAATCTCACGAGATTGATAAGAACAGCTCATTATTTGGATTTAATCTACACAAAGACGATGATAATCGTCACAATACGAAACGACCGATGATTAAGAATGAATACAGAAAGTCAAAAAAATTATCGCGTTATAGTGCGGCAACGAGAAATTTCATTCCATTCCGAAAAACGGATACGATTGATAATGCGTCGGTTGACAATGCTGGATTGTGCTCAACGCTGTTCTCATGTTGGCTAACGAAATATTTATGGCGTGCTTATCGCGATAATGGATTAACCGATTTACCCAAGTCCTCGCCGTATGATTGCTGCGATTACAATGTACAGAGGCTTGAGGCACTTTGGAATGAGGAAGTTGTGAGAAATGGGTTGAGTGGGGCATCATTTTCAAGAGTCACGTGGAAATTTATACGGACTAGAACACTCATTGCTCTTCTTATCACAGCAATGTCGGTTGTATTCGGCTTTGTTGGATCAGCCGTTGTTATGAGAAAAATGCTTGAATTAATTGAATCACCAGATGGTGATGTTATGACGGGTATTGGGTGGGTGTTGGTGTTATTTTTAATGGATGGTTTGAAGGTATTGCTGCAGTGTTGGGCGTGGATAATGAGTTACAGAACTGCTCAGAGATTCAAGGCTGCCTTTATTGCTACTATGTATAGAAAACTGATTAGAACCAGTAATCTCGGCAACAAAGATTCTGGAAAAGTGAGATAACACGGTTTCAACTTGTTTAAAGAATTTCATGAATTTTCTATTAAATTTTATCGGTTTATTAAATATTCTTCATGGCTACACCCTTTCAGGATTCTTTTTAATAAATTTATTCGTATTTATATTAATGTAATTAATATTCATTCATTGAATTTATTCAAGGAATTTATCAGATTTATTCAATTTGATTTATTAATTGATAGACTGGGATGGGATTTTCCAGAGATAAAAAATAGGAAGTAATTAATATGAATTGAATTCCAGTTTATTAATATGATGTCGGCAGATGGACAGCAGATTTACGACTTGTGCCAGTACTCACCACTTTTTTGCATAAGTCCAGTCGTTACGATATTAATTGTCATTTATATTTTGTGCATTCTAAGTCCTATGGCACTCGTTGGATTTCTTTTCTTCCTCTTGTTCTATCCATTGCAGGTAATTACCCATGACAGCTATAAATTATTGAGTTGAAAAATTAATTGTTGTCTCACAATTCAGTATTGCATCTCTCGCCTGATTGGGTACTTAAAAAGGAAGAGTGTTAAAGCATCGGATGATCGGATATCAGCGTTTAATGAGATCCTTAATGGGATTAAACTCATTAAAATGTATGCGTGGGAGGATCCATTCAGCGAAAATCTCCTGGGTACATCCGTTTATAATATCTATACAATTTATTTAATTTGATTATTTAGAAAATACAATTTTTAATTATTCTTCTGTTTATAACTGAAGATTTTTTGTAGCTATCAGGAGCAAGGAGAAGGCGCTCTTGGAGAAGATGACAATGGCTCGAAGCTATGGATCTGCATTCTCGAATACTATCACCTTAGTATCTGCCATTGTCACCTTCCTGGGGCATGTGGCAGGTGGAAATAATTTAACTTCAGCGCAGGTATTGCCCTGACGTTAGAATTCTTCATTTAGAACTTTAAAAAATCTTGAAAGTCGTTACAATTTAATTATTATTGGGATAATTGATAATTACAGGCTTTCCCAGTGTTTATTATGTATGGAAATCATTTGAAACATGCTCTCGGTAGCATTCGAGATGGTACAGCACATTTGATCAATTCTAGTTTTTCCTGTAAACGAATGAAGGTTTTAGAAATTATTTATTTTGTTTTTTTTTTTCTTGTTAAAGCGCTATCATCTGGTGCGGGAGCATTAGCCATTGGAGAGTAATTACATGATGCGATACGCGGAGGGGAAAATTCAATGAAAATTACTGAAGAAAATTGGGAGTAGTGAAAATGTTGTTAAAGTAATTAGTCGTAATTAGGTCGGGTGAATTCGTAGTTTTGACTGAATATTTCTCTGCGTGTTATTCATATGGTGGCCCCTGGGGTTTTCAGATATATTTTTACCGTTAAAATATCCATCTTTCCTCGTTTATTTGCAGGCATTTCCATTTGTACTGATGTTTAATACTTTGATACGCCACATGATTTCCTTCTTCGAAGTTGGAACATCTACACTCGTCAATTCAAGAGTATCATTCGCTAGAATGAAGGTGCTTCCACAAATATAATTAAGAAGATAATAATCTATGCTTCATATACTTCATATGTTCTATCGTTCGAGGAAAATATGACGTGCCAATTTATTGATGAATAATGCTTGTTTATTGAATGCTGATCATCAAATGCAAGCGTGGAAAATTAACACGTATGTCTCAAAAGGCTTTTTTATGTCTCAACGCTTTTTCATTATTTTGCTTTTTATTTTTTATGCATGTGGTTGTTTTAGGAAAACAGAGAAAATCTCTGGAAAAATTCTAGTCCAAAAAGAATTATTGAGTTAGAATTTTTCTGAGAATTTCTGTCTGTCAGCTTAACTATTTTTTTTGTTTGACATTAACAATTTTCTTCAACTGCAGTTGCTTTATAAATTTAATTAAATTCTATGGAATTTTTCAATTAAAAAATTCGACTGAAAGAATTATTGAAATATTATTTTTTCACGCGGTATTTTCTACCAAATACTTCCGTTGAATAAAAATTTTTGGATTATAATGAAAATTCCAGAGAAATCGATCAGAATTTTTAGCGGCAGTTTTCTCTCTGATAGGGGATAAATGGATTGATCAATTATTATATTCCGTAGGATGTCCTGAGCATGCCGGAAAATCATTATTCCATTCACAAACCGATATTAAAAAATCAAGCTGTATCAATTATAAATGGGACATTCAGTTGTGATTTCGATGGCGGAAGTCTAGACCGTAAAAATGGAAAGGGCAGGTAATAATTGTATAAATATTTAAATTTACTTCCATTACATTACAATTACAGCGAAATTTTCAGAGCGAGATTTTCCCAGAAATTCGTCAATAAAAAAGATATTCTTCCAGAAAAAATTCATCGAAGGAGACAGACCCAGAGGACGAGGCTTTAGAAATTCCATTAATACCAAAACGGATTGACATTCTCAGCGACATAACATTCGAGGCTGCGAAAAAGCGATTGATTGGAATATGTGGGAATGTGGGGAGTGGTAAAAGCAGTTTATTGAGAGCAGCCCTGGGACAATTGCGGATAACAACAGGAAAATTATCTAGGGACGGAAGTTGTGCATATGTCAGCCAACAGGCATGGATAATCAATGCCACTTTCAAAGAGAACATTATTTTTGGCAACGGCTTCGATGCACAGCGATATTACGCTGCGATAAATTTGTGCGAACTCCAAGAGGATCTAGAGATGCTGCCAGCAGCTGATGACACTGAAATTGGTGAGAGAGGAGTCAATCTGTCCGGAGGGCAAAAGCAGAGGATTGCTCTTGCACGAGCTTTTTATGCTAATCGGTAATTACTCCAGAATAAAAAGATTTCATTGAAAAATTCCGGGATTCGAAGATTTCGATTTTTTTTTTAGGATTTCCGCCAATGAATTTTCATCGAAAATCTCAGAATTTTAATCAAAAATTAGGGATCGATCAATTTCTTTGATAAACCGATCACCCCGCGCGCTAGAGCAATCACATAAAATTTTTCTATTCCATTTTCAGCGATATTTATTTTCTGGACGACCCCTTGAGCGCAGTGGACGTCAACGTGGGTAGGTGCATATTCGAGAACCTGATAATCCATGCCCTGAGCGATAAAACGATAATATTCGTGACACATCAGGTATCGTACCTGAGTCGTTGCGACGAAATTTACATGCTGAACAACGGGAGAATCGTGGAATTCGGTGCGCACACGCACCTGGTGAAGGCAGGAAAGGAATATGCGGCAATGGTCAGAAGTATTTCGACAAATAGCACATCAAGTGGTGGAGAATCCGAGGAGATCGATCAGGAAAATCAGAGCTCCAGGAAATCCGGTGTCAATGAAGACCGAGAGACCAACTCTGTATGTCCCACTTCCCTGGAGTCTCCGACGAAGATTCTCCATCAGAAGGAGAAAGAGGCCCCGAGGGAAAATGCTACATTAATAAAACCAGAGGCCAAGGG